GTCATGACAATGTGGAAAGTCTTGATGTAAATGTATAAAATATATAGGCAATGAAGAAATTGAAAAGGTTGTATTGCAGTATTAGAAGTTGAGTGAAAAACATAAAGGCAAAGCAAGAATTCATTTTGTGTTGGAGAATATAGCAATGGTTCATACTTCATAGTGTCAAAAAACATTTTTCTTCTCTTTATTTTTTTTTTTTAAAAAATAGCTATAGCACAATAGTAAAAGGGGCCTTTCATCAAAATTTAGCAAATAGGAACCAAAAGAAAAGGAATAAAGAAAAATTACCAGCTCTCTGAAACAATTGGAACCAATTTCAGAAAGGCTAGGAAGGCTCCTCCGAGTTATGAAGTATCGACAAAGTAATGAAAAAATCGTGTCTTCCATCTCATCATGACTTTATGATTAGACCATCTCTTAACAAACTCTCTCAACAGAGGTTCAGGATCATGTCTTTCTTGTAGAGAAGGCAATACCTGAGCAAAAATAAGCAATGCTTCAGCTATGTCAACTTAGCATAACAAGCGCCAAAACATGTTTGAATATCCCAGCAATTTACTCATCAAAGACTAAAATCATACAGACATCATGTCAACAAACAAAACCAAGAAGAGAACTCCTCAAATCCTACTAGATTTTCAATATTATCGATGGCACAGATGTATGTTTGTCAAATACTGGTTCAATTGCAATCAAAAAAAAAAAAAAAAAGTGGCAACCCCTTTCTTTAACCAAACTAGTGAAGAAATCATTTAAACGTATTATCTCACCAAGTGATCCAGTTTCAAAATATATGCAAAAGCCAACAACACTGTTCCTCTAATTAATCTAGCAGCAACATTTACAAACTTACTTCAGCAAATCAATCACTATTATTTCCTCTGTCACGTAGTAGTGATGTGCATATAATTTATTTATTTTTAATATTTTTTTATGCGATATTTTGCCAATATTTTTAGTATAAATATGTTATGTATGTGAATTTATCTTTAATTGTAGGAATTGTACTTAAATGGAGGAAATGTTAAATTTTTGGCTAAAATGAAGATAAAAGTAACTCAAAGAGAGAATTGAATATTTGTTAAATTAACAAGGAAGAAATTGAAAAACTTGAAGGCTTGGAGGACTAAGCAAGCAATTTTAGGATTTTGTTTTGAATTTGGCCGAGTTGAGCTCGTGCGGTTTTTTTTTTTCCTGAAGAAGAAGTCTTCCAAATTGATTTTGGGTGGTCGAATAAATTCATCCAGCAGAGTTTTAATTTCAATTGACTTGAAAAAAAAATAATTTTTTAATTTCCAAAGAAATTGGATTTAACGAAAACCTAAAAAGGAGGATTAAAGTTTTATTTTTGGATCAGAACTTGACCGAAAGCCCACGGCTTCCTCACGGCTGCAACTCCTCCGCCGACAACCAAAGTCACCATCACGGCACACCCCCTTCACCACCTTGCTTCCATCATCCCTGCCCACACATCACCGAGCCTTCACCGAATCACCGAAAACCCACGGCTCCCAAAACCGCCGAGCCTTGACCGAATCACCGAACCTCCGCCAAGTCTCAAAACCTTCCCTTCTCCACCACTTCAAACCGGCAACTTCATCACCACTCTGCTCCCATTCACGCGCGCAGCAACCAAAAAGCAGTAGCAGCCAAGAGTGCAACTCTGTCCGTGAAGAAAATCTGAAGCTAGCAAATCCGTGGAGCTTTTCGGCAGCCTTTGTCTTCCTCCGGGTGTTTGCGTTTTAATTATTTTATTTTGAATAATTGAGGTGTTAGCTGTTAATATTATTGGATTGTCTTTAATAATGTTTAGTAGCTAAACTTTTTTAACCTAGGGCTTGGAGGTAGCTACCGGATTATTTGGTTTATTTGGTTCATATTATTTGACTTTTTCATTAATTAATATATGTTATTCTTGTTTTAATTCGTACAAGTAATTGAGCACTATTTGCATGTTTGAAGATATTAATCGAAGTAGCGAGAGTGAAAGATTAGTATTAGCTCGTAGGAATAATAGACTTAGGTTGTAAGTTACGAAAGTAAAATTATAACCTTTGCAACTTTTTGATTCTTAATGGTCTTAATGTACTTTTGTTAATCCCTATCGTCACGAGAGTAGTCATAGGATTAGTCTAAGTAAGAAAATTATAGTGCAAGAGTGTGTAGTTCTTAATTAGGTGAATTGTTGTGAGATTAATAGAAGTTAAAAGTCAAATATTTATGAATTGATCCAAATCAAATATTCGGTAGGTGAACCCAATGTCCTAAGTTTTCTCCATCTTGATTGTTTCAAACTTTAGAGTAATTGAAATTTTAGATTTTAGGTTTAGTTTTATTTTAATCCAAAACTTGATATTGTAATTAGTCTAAATAATAATAAGCACTAGTTTATAACTGGTACTTAGGTTTCCTTCTCTGTGGATACGACCCTATTTGTCACTGTACTAGTGTTAAGTAGGTAATTTTATTTGGCTTTTTGTAACGACGGGTTTGTCAAATTTGGCATCGTTGCCGGGGAAGGCAGCTAATCTCAAACTTAAATTAGTTTCTTTTATTAGTTTATATTTGTTTTTATTTTTATTGATTTTATTTTATTTTATTGCTATCCTGGTCGATTTTATTTTTGTCTAATTTTTATATGCGAAGTGCTAATCTTGAAACTTTATAATTTGATTGATCCAGAGAAAGAAAGAACAGCTGTGCAAACACGAAAGAAGCAAAACTAAGGAAATATATCACCGGACAATTTGTATTGTTACGTTACGAGGAGAATATGTATTATATCACCGGAAGAGAAACACACCATTATTACTAGGTTTTTTTCAGATTCTTTTATTAGTAATAAATATGTAATCTACTAGTACTACAGTGCAAAGTATAAATTATTATAAATTATAGTCACATCACTCGTTAATTTTTATTTTTTTTTCCTCTCCTCTTTATCACATCTTCAAGAGAGCTATAAATCCTAAATAATCTAAAAACTATATATACACCTATTTCTTTAACATCACTTGTCCGGCGGCGGCTTTGATCTCCTTTAGCTGATTGAGCGACATGTTTCTTTGTTGAATAGGATAGTTCATTCATTCATTTCTACAAAGAACTTTAAGGTAGAATCATAAATTCTATAAGCCAAAAAGGAGTGGTATGAAAAATTCACAGCATGCGTTGAAGAGCATATCTTGGTCTAGCATAGTCCGAATTCTGCTGCTTAAGAAGGTTATCTCAACCCATGAATTTTTAGTACTCCTTTATCCCAAAATTATTGTCCAGTTTGAGATTTCACTTTTAGTACAATTCGAACTAAAAATGAAAACCCAAACTGGACAATAATTATGGGACGGAGGGAGTATAACACAATGAACAATGTTCCTAACCATGGCCACAACTTCATCAGCAAAAAACTATTCACAAACGAAAAAAAATCAAGCAGAGAAAGCAGAAACAGAGATTAGGAGCTTAGACCTTCTCCCAAGTTGAGGATGTCAGCGGAAAAGAAGAGAAACAACGGGAGGCTCACAAGATGTTTGTGTTCATCTAAATCCAAAGAAATTTCTTCTGTCATTTCGGTTCTGAGACGAAGGAAGTTGAAGTTTCTGCAATTTGATGAGGGAAGAAACAGGGGAAGACTCAAACAGAGCACTGAAGAAGGTGAATTGTCACCAAAACAAAATAAAAGGCAACGGACTTCTTCGACCAAAAGAATCCCTCTTCCAAGGCATAATCAGCCATGCAAAAGCAAAATAACATCATTAATGAAGATAACTAGTGACGGAACGAGAATTTTCAAATTGCGGGGTCGAAAATAGGATTATTCAACCGTCACCGGAGGGTCGAACTGAAAAAATTTCAAATAACGGACATCCTACTAAGAAAAAATTTAGCCAAATCCGGCCAACCGGGGGGTCGATCGACCACCCTGACCCCCTAAATCCGTCACTGAAGATAACAACTACAAGTTAGAATCATGGTTAAAGCAAACTGAACCCATGAACGGGAACGATGAAGGCGTGGTTCTTTTCTCTGTTGCTTCTTCACGCTTTGCTCTGCCTCCTGTTGTCTTAAGTTTTGGCGGGCTATATGTTTTGTAATTTAATCATGGTTAGCTTTCTAACCATGGTTAGATCAGCGAGTAAGTCAGGTGTATAGCTGTGTTAGACTCCAGATAAAAAAATATCAAGAATTCAAGAAGAACAACTTATAATTCTTGAGTAAATCTTGAACCCTTTTCTTTCAAATTACATGGATTTTCTTCAATCTAAAATTCAAATAAAATCAAGTTATCCACACTGAGGAACATAGAAGGAAAACTCTTGAAGGCCTAAATATAGGTTCTCATGTGGTTCCACTTCAAAACCAATTGACAATGAGGGAAGTAGCACATGAGGTATATATGTTGAGTTTAAAAGTCTTCATCCATCCATGTGAGACAAGTGAACATGAGGTAATTTCTTTTTTTTTTTCATTCATTTAACACGCCCCTCTCAAGCCCAATGGGCTTGGACGAATAATTTTATTTTTTTTTTTCTGATTTTTTTTCAGTCTTACGATCGGTTATTTTCCCGGATAAATCGTCGCCTGCCGAGCCAGTCAAAGTTCAAAATCAAACCCTTACGATCGGTTACTTTCCCGGATAAATCGTCGCCTGCCGGGCCAGTCAAAGTTCAAAATCAAACCCCGAATTTCTTCCGCAAGCTGACCAAAATTTCAAGACCCAATCTGGGTCAGTCCACCTCGCCTCACAAGTCCAACAGGGACGCGAATTAAAACCCGCTCTTATACCATCTTGAAGGCCCAAATATAGGCTCATATGTGGTTTTATCTCAAAATCAACTGGCAATGAGGGGAATAGCACATGGGGTATATATATTGAGTTCAAGAGTCTTTATCCATCCATATGGGACAATAGAACTTGAGGTAATTTCTTTTTTTTCATTCATTTAACAAACACTCTGCTGTGCCGTGGTTCCTTGATAATACCTTCGCTACGATTTGAAGGATTCTGAAATGTGCAGACGAAATTTTCAGAAATTTTACACTTCCTAATCTTTGAAGGTTTCATCCCCATTTGCTCAATAGATTCTCCAATAGCATCAAGGATAGCAAATTGATCATGCCTTGTTAAAGGAAGTTATTGACATTCTTGTTGAAATTGCGATTCAAAAATAGGTTTATTATCTGAAGAAGCTAATGCTCAAACAAACTAAAGATTCTCTTTCATATCCGGCGGCAAGTTCATCAAGCAATATCAGAAACCCAATGTTCATCTCCTGATGCCTTCATCGTTTACCGGCACACATTTTCCTTGTCCGAAATTTCTGCATCTATGCTATTGATTAGGTTGGGGCTGCGATGAAACATCTTAAAAGCTACCGTATGGATTAGGTTGGAGTATAATTTATGTTATCCGTTCAACTTACCTTCTGATTGACTATATTTTGAACAGTCATAAATGATAAAACCAAAGCAAAGAGGGAAAAAAAATGGTTAACAAATGCAGCCTTGTAGCAAAACAGATATCCATTGTAATCTTAACTTCAAACCAAAAAAACCACAAATATCTATTCCAGTTTTGCAGGCATCAACATAGATTACTGTCTTCTTCTCCAACATATACATCAGTCAGGAACTTAGAAACTTTTAATGCACCAGAAACAGCTTGGTCAATAGCTCTTTGTAGTTAGGCAGCATGGGGCACTGATAGTGCTTGTTTTACACGCTGTCAGGTACAAAAGAGGGGGTAATTAGATCGAGATCTCAACAATGAATGTTGAACATGGAAAGTAACAATCAATCCTGATAAATTTGGAAAGCAATGGAATGGAAAGCAAACCTCAAGCAACTTTGGTTCAGTACTGGGATGGAGGTAATGGGAGACTCTATCCTTTTCAAGATTCAAACACTCCTCTACCTGAAAAGCAAAGTAACAAAAAGAGTAAAAACTGAATGAATAGAATTGAATAACAAATTCCAGGATAGGTAACCACCTTCAAATTATACTCTGGGGATGCATCTTCCAAATTCCACAAAGAAGCTTTACAAGAATAATAAGCATCAGTGTCTTCAAGCATTTTGGCCTCGAAATCATTCTCATAATCCCCCAAGACTCCATGATCTGCAAGGTGAGTTTTCTTCATCACAATTTCAACAAAAATGTCGACCACATCCTTCAATAGACCGCGATCAATTTTCTCTCCTTCACGCTCTTGTTTTATCTAGTTAACAAAAGTAGGCACAAAGTTTTCAGTTATTTAGGTAGCAGTTTATGAAATTCCTTCAAAAAATTTCAGAATCTTCAAGTCACATTGAAATAGCAGCAAATGTATTACCAAGAAACAAACAGCATCGCGAACTTCTCCCTTAACTTTTGTGTAAACCTGCAGAAGGGTATAAAGTCATAGCTACTTCTGTTCGTTGGCATAAACTAAAAGTTAACACCATCAGAGGCATTAAGCGTCTGATGTACAATGTGTTGTTTTTCATCGAGTTGTCATTATTATTCACCGTGTAGACAGACCATATGAAAATGTAAAAGTAAGCTTTGAAGATCTTTAAGAAGCGTATCACAATGAATTAGAAGCTGTCCCAAGCAATAGATCATATTACATTAAGCAATAGCAATATTTCACTTTATATTTGTTCAATCTAAAACAAGGAGAAAAATAATTACATCCCCAATCATAGAAGGGGCCTTACAAAAAGAATGTAGCACATAGCAATGAAAAGATAATTAAAGAGAAATTACCAGATCATGGAAAGCGTTGTATCCAACTTCAGTAAGGTTCGGAATGGACCTCCGAGTTATGTAGTATCGATCGAGGTAATGAAAGAATCGCATCTTCCATCTCAGCATGGCTTTATGATTAGACCATCTCTTAACAAACTCTCTTAACAGAGGTTCAGGATCATGTTTGTCTTGCAGAGAAGGCAATACCTGAGCAAAATTAAGCAATAATTAAGCTATGACACCATCTTACAATAACAAGCACTATCAAACATGTTTGATATGCCGACAACTCATCCATGAAAGAATACAGCAGTAAAGACATTTTGTCTACAACCAAAACTGAGAACAAAACAGCTAAGATCATCATTATTGGTGGCACAAGAATTTTGCATATCTATAATTGGTCACATTGCAACCGAAAAAAACAGGGGAACCACTTCCTTCCGCCAAAGTGGTGGAACAAATCCTGTAAAACTCTTTATTCTCTTTAAATAATTCACTTTCAAAAAGATATGTAGCACCCAATAACACCGTGTCTATAAGTAATCTGGCAGCGAAAATGCAAATTGATCGATAAACCCTATGCAAAAGAATACAACCAACAATTCGTTTTATGAATCTGAATCCCAATGATTCATATATTGAACTTAAATAGACTAAAAAAGAAAAAAAACAAAATATAAATCCAATGACACTTGAAGAATCCAACCAACAATACTATGATTCAATAGAAAAATAAAAGAAAGCCCCTTACCACGGACGAGAGATACTCTTCAAAAGTCTCCTTGTACTTGTCATACAACCTCTGAGAGTGGTCGTGGACTCCTTTTTGGGTACACATTTCGTAAACCGTTCTGCAAAATGAAATTCAAACTCAATTAATGAAATTGAATGACCCAAACATCCGAATTAAAAACGATGAGAAAGGGGGAAGAATAATATCATTACTCGTAAAGCCTCATGTACTCATCAGAAGTGAACTTGGAATCAGGCTTCCCAGCGACCAAGTTCTCAAGCTTTTCGAGTCCTTCCTGCAAAACTTTCCAACCCTTGTCGAACTCAATCGGCTTATCGAAGTTCGAATCGTCCATCGTATTTTTTCCAGCGGTGTTCGAAAATCAACAGCGAGGTACACAAACCCACAAATCCCTTTTCAGAATTCTACACGAACAAGAGAACCCAAAATCCAAAAAAACCCAAAGGAAAATGGATTGGGGAAAAGGAAGGAGACGCCAAGAGGAAGACGGGAAAGAAGAGACCTAGCCAAATTTCTCTTCACTCCCTCAGTCCTTATTCCTTACTCTGCAAAGGTCGTTTTATATTCTTTAACCCAAAAAAGAAAAAAAGGGAAAAAAATGTCATTTCATATTCATACAGATCAAAGTCAAAGTCAAAGTCAAAGTCATTTTATATTCCTTGTAGTTGCTAGTATAAAATTTTACATATGCTCCAATGATCGATTAGACTAGTAATACTATATTCTATCATACTACAAGAAAAATCAAAGGTCAACCCGCAAGACAAAATAAATACTCCCTCCGTCCTATAATTAATGTCCAATTTGAATTTTTATTTTTAGTTCAAATTGTACTAAAAGTGAAGACAAAATAAATACTCCCTCCGTCTTATAATTATTGTCTAATTTGAATTTTTATTTTTAGTTCAAATTGTACTAAAAGTGAAATCTCAAACTGGACAATAATTTCGGGACAGAGGGAGTAAGAGTTAATTTTTCAAAACATTTAAGAGGAAATCTTCTTTTGAAAATTCAGTTTTACTAAAGAGTTACAAAGTCCATGCATTCAAATCCATATGGTGACTCTTCTTGCCATTTGTAAATTCTATTAATTAATTATCATAACTAGTTCCAAGTGACTTTCTAAATCAGTTGAATTACACCTACTTGCAAGGGATTAATTAATTTCGTCTCATTCGTTCTATCTCAAACAACAATAATAATCAATGTAACTACAATATCTTGAACTAACTTATAGATTCAAACCTACGATAACATGATCGTAGATAGTAGCAACGTAGCATACAATAAGCAATATTTAATAAGATGTTTGCCTCTCTACGGTTGAAGCCCTCACAATTCCTTAGTGCTAGTAGCTCGAATCTGGCCAAAAGAATTTGATCTCTTCCTTTCACGTAGGCATACGGTATCTGATTTCATTTTTTCCAATAATCGACCAAAGACTAATAGAACTATTCACTTATTTTAGCATCCACCCGCACGTTGTGTTGAGTAACATATGTATTTTCTGCCCTTTTTTTTTTTTTTTTTGCAACGGAGTTTCTATTTCTTTTTTTCTTTTTTTTTTCTCATTTTCAAGCAGATAAAGTAGAGATTTGTCGATGAAAAACAATTGACCTGAACCTGAGGGAGTTATTATATTGACAGCCTAAATAGATTTGGGATGGATTGTATCCGTAGGCAATTTATCGACAGAAAGTGGTAAGATTTCACCAATAATTATTTGACCCGGAAAAAAAAAAAACTCACATGAAGTTCCCTCTTTTTGATTTTTTTTTTTTCCGCGTTACCTTCCTATTTTTTCAATAGAATTTCCTTATACCCTCCACCATGAACATTCTTTCATCTCCTTGGGAAAAAATAAAAAATAAAAAGAAAAACTCCTTAGATCAATTTCAAAATAGTAGTAAAATCACATCTGATTAATGGAAGGACTTTTTTTTGTTTGAAGAAGATGTCAAAATCTTCCATCCCCACTCACCAGACCGCTTAACACCAGTCCCTATATATATATATATATATATATATATATATATATATATATATATATATAGTGTGAGTTTTGTTTTAAAAATTTCCAATCATCAAATCACTTTTCATTTCCAACCCAATATATATCTTCTACCCATTCATTCTATTCATGGAATTTGAAAAATATCCATCTTATTCAAGTCATCATACCCATGAAAGAAAAAAAGAAAAAAAAAAGTAAATTGAGGGGGGAAATGACAATCTATATGTCATATTTTTCCCCTTACTTTAATAATTTAAGTGGAATTAGATTCGTTTAGTCACTTAAATTTGGACAACATGTGATACTACTAATATGATGGAGAAAATTGTCTATTCCACCCAAAGTTTCAACCTTCTCGCCAATTGTAATCAATAGTATTTTCATAGGCCAATTGTAATTACCATGTCTTTTGCTCCCTATTTTGAAATAGTCATTAATCCGAAACTTTTTCTCTTTCTACCAAAAAAAAAATGTGTTTTTCAAAAAAAAACACATAAACTTATTCACATTGATGACCATATGCCATGTCTTCTATCATCCGGATAATTTTTGGTCCTCCATATTAATATATTATTTTGGGATTTTAAGACGACACAAAATATGACCAACCTTTTTTTTTACTTTTTTTTTTTCGGCTTTGGTTTTGGTCTATGACAACAAATTACTCGTAATGAAAAGAAAATCATGAAAATGAGGTATAGTCTTAAAAATTTGTAAAGAAAATGAAAAAATTTTCTTTAATGATCAAGAATTTTTTTTTTTCCTTTTTTGACTACTAGTGATGAAATGTCCATTCCTCCATTGCCTTCTCTACGTACTGAAAAAGAATTTTTTTTTTAGCAAATTAAGAAGGTCTAATTAACATATACTAGCTATCAAAAAATGGTTAATCATTTAATAAAAATTGGGGAAAATGAGAGACACTCAATTAATAGCTTATTGATGCGGATGAGACAATAGAGATACTTTCAATACCAGCTTCATCTTCATCATCATGCCAGTAATAATGGTATTATGGCAGTAGTGGCTTAAGAGTCAAGCCAGCTAAACAAAGGTTAAAAAGAAACGAAAAGGAGAAAAAAAAAAAAAAGGTTTGGGCTGGAAGGGAAAAATAAACGAATTAAAAGGACATAATTACGAATTATGATTAAATTACCGGAAAGTCCCGGGAGTTGGCCAGACACAGAATAATAAGGATTTAGCGCGTCCCCTACAATTAGACTTAGACTTAGACCTGGAGGGTGGAATGGTGGCTTTTCAATGAACATTGGGTACTGCTCAATTACGGGGCAGAGATTTGGGGACTTTTGCAAGGTCTGCAACTAGCATGAGACAAGGGATATAGGAAGTTAGAGGTGGAGGTGGATAATGAAAGTGTAGTCAGGCTAGTGCTAGCAAAGGAGCCGAATTCGGGAGTGCATTTGGGAATTTTGCGTGCCATTAAGGAACTCATGAGCAGAAACTGGGAAGTGAAGTTAGCACATGTGCATCGTGAGAAGAATTTTGCGGCCGACTATATGACCACTTTGGCGGTGTCAAATCCTCCGGGACTACATAGGATGGATTGCCCACCATCAGTGGTTAGAAACTGGCTATTCCATGACATCATCGGGGTGGCATACCCGAGAAATGTAATAGTATAGGAGTTGTAATTATCTCCCTTTGAATCGAAAAAAAAAAAGACTTAGACTTAGACCCAGTAGACTATTTCAAGTAAGAAATTTCCTCCCGCTTCTCCTTTCTCTTGTGTTATTAGTGTGTTTTTCTTCGCTTTTTCCTTATTCAAAAAAGGCCCAAAAAACCCTACCTATATATATCTTTCTAATTCAACCCATTCAGACCACACCAATTCACTCTTCACTTCTCTAAATCCGAATTTCAGTAGCATATATGTGTCTCAGAGACCCAACATTCCACACTTCGCTTCCGTTGCCTTTGGCCTTCATTCTCATCTCCTGGTCTCCAGTGAGATGTCCTCTAATTCCAACTGGTTTTCTGATTCTTGTTAGTATTTCTTTTCATTCCTATTTTGTTCTTTTCTAAACAAAACCACAGAGAAGAGACAAACCGACAATTTTGTTACCATTCAATTCCATTCTTTTGTTTTTAAAACACTTTTAATATCACTTTGGTAAATAGAAGAGGTTTTTTTTTTTTTTTTTTTTGGTAAACTTTACATTTGAACGCAAATCAACACAATCGACAAAGAATGTGTGTCAAAGGTTTTGTTGAGGGAGGCATTGCTTCAATTGTGGCTGGATGCAGCACTCACCCCTTAGACCTCCTCAAGGTCCGAATGCAACTTCCCAACCTTGCCCTTCAGAGGACGCTCCAACCCGCTTTCGCCGGTGTGGGCGTGGCCGTTAATGTCCGCATCCCCATTCCTCCTCCGCCGCCCCGCGTCGGACTTGTTTCCGTCGGGGTCAAAATTGTCCAGCAAGAAGGCCTGGCGGCCTTGTTCTCCGTCAGACCCTCTATTCGACGACCCGGATGGGGTTGTACGATATCCTGAAGCAGAAATGGACTGACCCGCATACCAACAAGATGACCTTGGACAGGAAGATTTGCGCGGGTCTAATAGCCGGAGCCATCGGAGCCGCCGTGGGAAACCCGGCCGACATCGCAATGGTCCGCATGCAAGCCGACGGGAGGCTTCCAGCGGCTCAGCGCCGGAACTACAAGAGCGTGGTGGACGCAATCGCTCAAATGGCCAAAAACGAGGGAGTGGCCAGCCTGTGGCGCGGGTCATCGCTGACGGTGAACCGGGCCATGTTGGGGACGGCATCACAGCTGGCATCGTACGACCAGATCAAGGAGTCCATATTGGAGACGCACCTGATGAAGGACGGGCTGGGAACGCACGTGACGGCGAGTTTCGCCGCCGGGTTCGTGGCGGCGGTGGACGTGATCAAGACCCGGGTGATGAACATGAAGGTGGAGCCCGGGATGGCCCCACCGTATTCCGGGGCGCTTGACTGCGCAATGAAGACCATTCGGGCCGAGGGTCCGCTGGCTCTTTACAAAGGTTTCATTCCCACCATCTCAAGGCAGGGTCCATTCACTGTGGTGCTCTTTGTCACATTGGAGCAAGTCCGCAAAGTTTTCAAGGATCTTTAAATTTTTTTATGATGACGACGAAACAAATATACTAATTTACTAAAAACTAGATTATTATACAAACTAATTTAAGACAAGAGGCATTGAAGAATGTTAAGGTTCCGATGAGTAGTAGATGAGGATCCAAATAATCCACCAATTAGAAAAATATTTAAGTATAGATGAGGATATTCTTTGAAGGGCGATCAATCGATCGATGAGGTCAATTTGCTAAGTTAATACTCTATTTAAATTTGTTGTTAGTAGTAATACCGTCTTGATAGCACCAATTAGTAATGTCAAGAGTATTCCTTTTTACTATTTGGTGAACTGAAGAGGAAAAAAAAAAGCCAAAAGCCCAAAAAATCACTCATCCATTTTGCAAGATTTCTTCATAGTTTTTATGATCGGGTTATGGCGATTTTGGCAAGATTATGATAGCAGATGATTTTACACCTTTGATGTAGCTTGGATCTTCACTAATAAAGGCCCTATCCAAATCGTCGATTCACTTCAGTTGCTCCATACCACAATTCGATGAGTGCAAGAGCAGTTCACCGATACTAAATTCTATATATAGTTATATAACTTAAATCAAGTTACGTCTTCATATTGTTCAAGCATATCTTAACTTCAAATCACAAAAACACAAACATTTTTTCCAGTTTGCAACACAAATATATTATCTGTATATTTTCAATCATGTTATCCAAAAGAAAATACATCATTCAAGAACTCAGAGCATGAGTTCAACTCAAGGACTTTATGCTTCAGAACCAGCAGCATGGTCGAGAGCTCTCTCCATACTTAGATCCACTAAAATTCTTTGGAAACAACATCCTAATCAAAATTGTAATTTGGTGGATTCTTTTTGAAATTTTAATTAGATTAAATTTTAATAAAAAGTAATTAAAAAAAAGAAATTTTTTGCTGGTGGGCCCCACTGGGTATAAGAAATTAATAAAAAAATTGATTATGTAATTTTGACCGTTAATTTTATAAAATTCCGTTAAATGGATCAATGTTGATGAATAAACGAGAAGGTTGTAACTAATTTTGTCAGAAAAAGAAACTTAATGGTGACTAAAAGTTGTGACTTCCCTTAGTTCAGGGACCAAAAGTGCGTTTTGTCCAAGGAAAAAATTCAAACTGGAAAATAATTTTGGGACAGAATGAGTACTAAATGATACTAGAACTGAATAAACGAGTCTTCCAAAGCCCATGTAGAAGCTTTTCGAGAATAATAAGATGTGGTCTCTTCAAGCATTGCTGCATCAAAATCATTCACGTAATAATCCATTTTGTCCATCCCGATTCCATCAAAAATGTTGATCACATCCTTCAATAGTGCTCGATCACTTCAATAGTGCTCGATCAATTCGCTCTCCATCACGCTCTTGGTCAATCTATTGTAAGCAAAAATAATTAGTAACATTTCAATATCTATATTGAAGGACACGCGGAAAACAGTAGCAAATTCAAACTGGAAATTATACTAAAACTGAAAATCTAAACTGAACAATAAAATTTTAGGACGGAGGGAGTAGTATATTACCAAGAACAAAACAGCATCCAGAACCCTTACCCTAAAGCTCTCGTAAACCTGTAGAAGAGTATAATGTCATGACCACTTGTCTTCTTTGATACAAATAGAAAGTAAATACAACCAAAGGCATTTGAGGCCTTCAAGGACAATAAACTTATATACAAAAACACATTTCAGATGGGAAAAGAATGAATTACAAATTGTGCCTTATCACAATACACACATCAGCAACAGAGTTTATACAGGGCAGGCCTTTTTTCTTTTGTTGATGTTAGAAAATAACAGCAGTTCATAATTGATAGTGCATCAAGGGAACCTTTTCATCATAAGACCAAAGGTCCTCAGATCAAAATATAGCATAGGGAAAAAGAAAAAAAAAAAAAAAGAGAGAAAGAAATTACTAGATCCCGAATAGAAGTGAATCCAACTTCATTCAAACCAGGAAGGGCCCTCCGACGAATGTAATACTTGTCAAGATAAGGAAAGTTCCGCACCATCCATCTTACCATGATTTTATGATTAGACCATCTTTTAACAAAATTTCTTAACAAGGATTCATGGTCATGCTCTTCTTGCAGAGAAGCCAATACCTGACCGAAAAAATCAAATCAACTTAATGTTTAAGATATGATCATATTTTTGCTGTTCACATAATTAATACTATTGGGAAAGTAGTCAAATAAATCTAGAGAAGAGAAAGTTGAATTTCAGTTGAAAAGAGGTGATGTGTGTAAAACAAGTTCGGAGGATTCACTACCAACCTTCTCACATCTTTCTTACATGACGTTTCATCCATCCCGAAAAAATAGTTCACGTTACGATTTGTGAATTCGGTTACTTTTAGTACAAATCACAGCGAACTAGTTTTTGAGACGGATGGAGTATTTACTTTAAGCACTATAGGAAAACAATAAACAAGAACCATATTACCTTTGATGAGAGATACACCTCAAAAGTCTCCTTGTATTTATCATACAACCTTTGACAGTAGTCGTATTCTCCTCTTTGAGTACACATAGAGTAGATTGTTCTGCGCAAGAAATTCAAATTCAACTGATATGTACAAATCCTGCCACACTTTTTGAATTGGAAAGAGTGTTAATTAGTCCGTTCGTCCGAAAAATGATTGACCAAACATAACGATCATTTTGGGACGAGAGAGTAAAAACTGAAAGGAAAAAAAAAAAGAAACCCGTTACGTGTAAAGCATCATGTAGTCTTCTGAAGTCTGAACTGAACTCTGGTTCAGGATTTCCTTCCAGGATGTTTTTAAGCTTTGTATTACCTTTATGCACAAAATTCCAACCTTCATCGAATTCAATCACATTCCGGCCTTTTGACTGATTCATTTCCCTTTTTTTTCACGGTGGACAAATCAAGAGCAGGATCATCCGCAAAGCCCTTAATGGAATATATTGAACAATTCTGGTGTATCTAATGATTCAAGTGCTCTTTCGAAAAAAAAAATGAATTCAAGTGCTCTCTGAAGTCTGTACTAGTAATACTACAAAGTTCGACCACAAGTATCAAAAACCTATGGTTTATTCAAAAAATATCAACACTTATGGATCTTTAAATGTTGCTTTTGTAAACTTTCACTTAATTAATCGGCAAGTCACTTTAGAATTTACCTCACTCATGATAGACACTTGGGTTCTTTGAAGGTAAAAGTTCTAACAATTTGTTGGACCGATTTTGACAAATCTGGTCCACACGAGTTGGGCCGATCGCAATAAATGTTTAAGTTGGCAAAATATTGATAAACTCGTGGGAATTAACAAATACAAGGATAAGGCGGCAATCGACAATTCAAATTGGACAAGGAGTCGTCAATGTGAAAATCCGAGTTGGAGAAGGACTTCTATTGCAACAGGGATCCTATCGGATTAGACTTTGGTTGCACTGCAATTACGGTTGGCGGAAAAGCGTATAAAAGCTGTGAAGAGAAGACGGCAACAGACACACAATTCATTTTAGAAAATCGAAGATCTAGTTTTCTTTATAGTTTTTCTGCCATCTATTTTCGTTAAGCTTTCTTGGATTTCTTTACACATTGTATCGATTAGCATAGTTTTGTTGCAGTTTTAGGCTACTTTCAGCCGAAACGCTATTTCAAATCAAGCAAAAACAGGTCTTTTGTGGCCGTTTTGTTCATGTTCTTAGAGTTCTTTCATTATTGCATTGATCAATCCATTTCGTCTTGCGTCTACTTTGCCTTGAACGCGTTGACGTTTTCTGACAAGTGTAGCGTTAGAACTCCGCAACGTCCAAAATTAAAATTACTAACGTAACTTTAAAGGCATGACTCGAGAATTACCTTGTCTGATGAATAATATCCAACTATGGCATCTCTGGACTCTTTATAGACTTCCGTAGGAGACTTTAGCACCTTAGAATGCTGCTGGAGAAATGACTTTACCTCCCCTCCTTTATTCTCTTAAGTTGCTTACCTCCTCCTCTCTTGAATAAAACTCACTTATTACTTAAACTTTAAATTTGGGGTGGGTTTAAAAATGGCTGAGGTCATATTGGTGGTGTTTGGTCTGGAGTTTCGGCTGATGTTGGTGAAGGGAAGAGTGTTGGAGGCACTTGAATGTTTGATCACTTAAATAGAACCAAGCTTTACTTTGCCTTCAAGTTTTGGCAACAAAATTTTTATTTTTATTTTATCTTAATACATAGCAAACTTGACCATATCGGTGGCTGAATCCTCAAGTATAAGTCCAGCGCTATAGGCCACGTTTGTGGCTCAAAACTTGGTGCCCAAGTAGTACAATTCTTTTATTTGTTTTTAAAAGGTCTACTATTAGTACTATTAATAAAATTGTTATTGTTGTGATTATTATTATCGTTGTTGTCATTATTATTATCGTTGGGGCTAATGTGGGCTCCGCACAAAGGCCTACTGGTTTAGGTAAATATCTAATGCGTTCCCCAACCGGAGAAGTCATTTTTGGAGGAGAAACGATGCGTTTTTGGGATCTGCGTGCTCCTTGGTTAGAACCTTTAAGAGGTCCAAATGGGTTGGTCTTGAGTAGGTTGAAAAAGGACATACAACCTTGGCAAGAACGACGTTCCGCAGAATATATGACTCATGCTCCTTTAGGTTCTTTATAGGTCATTTGTGACATGTGGGAAGGGCTCGTGCAGCTGCAGCAGGGTTTGAAAAAGGAATTGATCGTGATTTTGAACCTGCATTTTCTATGACTTCTCTTAATTGAGATAATTTTAGTTGAGATAATAGAGGATAGAGGAGATCGAATGAAAGGGATTCATATTTCAAGCATTCGATCAGACATCTTGAGATCGGGTCATACTTATTAAATTAAAAAGTATTCTTTTTGTCATTTTATATAATTATCAATTTTTTTCGGCTCGGCTATCCCACCGAGCCGAGCCGAGCCCGCCTTCTTACTTGAGCTAAGAAAAGTTAGTGTTCATGTGGCTAACATGCCTATAAAGCTTGGGTCCGAAGCATTTTAAGTTAAACTATGTATTTTATTTTCTTGAATAATCACTCATTTAATTAAGTGAAGTATCAAACAATAATAAGTAAAGAAAACCCTTCTCCCAACATTTAGTTTTTAAATTATTTCCTTTGAATAATTTCCGAAAAACTTCGGGTGTTACATGCATCATCCGAAATGAAGGAATCACAAATGTTAAGGAAAAGTGACTAATTGGGTCTCAAACGAACTAAGACAGTAAAACCACTTTGTTAATACATAAGATCGATCTTACATGTCATAAATTATTTAAACTATTCTGCTAAATGAACTGACTAAACTATACTCCCTCCGGTCCTTCTTATGAGTCATTTTGATTTCGTTCTAGATTTAACCTAGGATGTCTTTTTAATTGGAAAAAAATCTTAAAAATATATTTTCACATTCGTTGTATTCTTTTAATTATTATGAAATATTTTTAAGATTTTTATTTGAACTAAAAAGACATTCTAGGTAAAACCTAAGACGAAATCAAAATACCTTATAATAAGGACCGGAGGGAGTAGTATACGTTCTCTTTCAAATATTGTGTCATTTCGATTGATTAAACACCATTTCCATTAATTAATCTTACTTTCCATCTTCATGGTACTTTAACCATACATGATACAAGCCTTCACATCGTCAACAAAAGGACGCTCACAGCAGTTAATATGCGGATGGCGCGCTCTACACATAAAAATCTTTCAGTTATAGAATTGCGGTAAAATCCTTCCATCTAATTGACCTTTTTTTAGCGGGGGGTACAATCCTAATTGAAAATTTCTGGGATTTTCTCTTTTGGTTTTGTTATAATCTCTAACAAACAAGTTCTTTACGATATTAATTTTACTTTGTTCAGCTAAACCGCACAACAAGTTGAATTAGTAAAATGAGATGAAATGTGATATTTACTCTGTTCCGAACAGAATAGTTTAATTTTAGAAAACAAATTTATAAAATTCGATGGTTAATATTCCAAAGTGAAAAAAAATGGAACGAAACTCAGTTCTATTGTAAATAGTTCTATTGTTCGTCCTTTACTAATGAAATTTCTCACTTCTGAAAATGTTAAATTTTATTCTTAAAAAAAAAAAAAGAAAAAGGAATATAGCATAGATTGAGACACTCTTCGACCAATTCCATTCATCATTCTGATTTATTTCTACGAGCACATCGCCAGATATTCGATTTCCACCACCGTCACGGGGAAGGCAGGAAGGGATATATAGGATGGCTAGGGAACTAAGGTAGAAGTAGGTAGTTTTTTAAAAAAGAAAAAATGAAATACATAACACAACATCTTCCACTAAAATAATACTCATAACTATGTGATTTTTTTTCTTAACGAGTAAGTGGGTGAGAGACTTGTGATTCGGAAAGATAGTATTAATCAACAATAACACAACAATGTAAAGAAATGACTACGGGCAATTTTTTTCCCAAATGCAAATTAAAAGTAACAAACATTGTCATGTCTCAAACTAAGGAAAGAAGCTTTCCCCAAATTCCAGGAATGCTAACATTCAATCTCTTAAAAAAAAAAACCAAAAAAACCGCATTCTAAATGAACAGGTCAAACTGAAAGTTTTATTTCAAACAATATACTCCCTCTGTTTCATAATTATTGTCTAGTTTGAGTTTTCATTTTTAGTTCAAATTGTACTAAAATTGAAATCTTAAACTAGATAATAATTTTGGGATAGAAGAAGTATATCATTTCAATTGGTTAAAGACCATTTACATTAGCCTTACTTTTCACATTCATCCTACAGTTTGCTCCTGCTGGTAAGGCCTCACACCATCAAATAAAGGAAGCTCACGGGATCATTAAAGCACGTGATAAATTGTTGCACCGTGGGGCATTTATTGATTCACACACTCATTAAAGCCCAAATCTTGGAACATATTTCTGGGTTGCTTCGAAGGCAAGCTCTATTTCTCGAACTTCGAAGGAATTGTAGGAAGCTTATGAAGAACACTAAACAATAGACCCAAACCCAGACCCAATCTCCAATCTCCAGTCTCAAATTCAGCTGCCATTTCAACTTGATCTGATGGGAAGGATGCATGTATAAGAAGAACTATTCCCTACACATAAAGATCTTTCATCTATACTGGAATTGTAGTGACCAAAAGGGTATATATGTGGAAAATTCAAGACACAAGGAAGTTAATGCGAAATGGTTGAGGTTGGTGATTGGTAGTTGTTGGAGTTATAATAAGCTCGCGACACACCAAAGTGGTTGTGGTGGCGTGGAAGGGACTCCTCCACCCTTAACCATAGGTCGATTGTTCGAATCTTGTCATAGACATGGAATAACCTTAAATACTTTGGCCAATTGTTCCACTCATCGAATTGCCCACAATTCAGTAAGGGGGATTAGTCACTGTTGCCGACGGTGGATACATTACAAATATGTAAAAAAATAATAATAATAACAATAATAAGCAAGCGACTACATTAAAACTGGTGAAGCCAAGAACAAACCAAATGCATCCATCAAATGCGCGCATTTATTATTTTTTCTTTGGCGTTACCCTTTTTCTGAATTCTAATCAATATTGGAATAATGCTCATTGACATCCTTGGGAGTACAATGCTAATTGACAAATTTTTTGGATCTTATGTAATACTAGTAGTCGATCTTTGTGTTCGACAAATAATACTAATACATTATTTTTACAGTCAATTGGCCCAGATTTCGTATTTGTAACTTCACCACATGTTGCTGAAGGTACAAAGAAATAAAGGAACTTAGAGGATTTGCAAATTCTTTTTGAAGTATGAGAACCGAGAGAATAAAACTTCCCTATACTATTTCAATATTTTGTTTGTACCCAAAAAAAAAAGAAGAAAAAGAAAACATCTTGCTGTATTGAACCAAACAATGTAACAAAGATAATTATTAAGAGGGACGGAATGCTTATTAATTCTTACCCCCTGAAAGAACAGTCCAATTTAAAAATTTAAAATTTATATGTTTCTAGGGTATATCTTCTAAAAAAAATTAATATGAAAAATTGAATAGAATGTCTAAGTCTAATTATCAATTCTATAAATTCTATGATTTGTTTTTTACTAATGAAATTTCTCACTTCTGGAAATGTTCAATTTTATTGGAAAAATAGGGTTCCCAATTATAATGGAAAAAACAGACATTGTCGAGCTTCATAAACGATTCAAGTCCTATTTGCCGAGCTTAAAATAACCCAACACCTGAAGATGATCCTTGCTTGTTTCATATGACGTGGATTCAGATACTCTTCTAACAAGTCCATTCATCGGTCTGATTTACTTCTACCAACAGAAAATCACTCTTTTAAGTTAAGAATTGACCACTTTTGAAGCCAATAAATTGTTGGAGTTATTTTCAATATATTATAGGGACACAATTAATATGTTGTGTCTATTGGGTGTTTTCAATATATTGTAGACACAAAACTAATAGGTTATGCCTATGGACTCCATATGAAAAAAAATTGACGAAAAGTTATGTCTAATACCATAACCAAGGGTTACGTTTAATCCTCAAGAGTTTCCTCTAACTCTATTAAATATGGATCATTTGGATGTTTTTAGTGTACAATGAAATCACCAAATACTTGGAATATTTTCAATGACATTTCTTATCCTTGTATCATGTTGTTGGTTTTGTATCATGTTATTGGTTCACTAAAGTGCATAGTGAAACAACATGATCTCCATTTTGTCTCATAGGGAATTCGCCTAGACAATTGCACTGTATAGTGGGCAAATTTAGTCTAAAGGAAAGCAAGTTTATTTGTAACTTGGAGACAAAACTTTCTTTTATTCTAACCATAAAATCTTCCTCTTGTTCTTTGATCTAGTGCATCCATTGTTATCTACTATTCTTGAAGTGAATTCCGACATAAATAACATTAAAGATCTAAGTGAGGATATGAAATTGCCTACTGAAGAGAATACAATTTTAGTCTAATGAAATTGTTGTACTTACAAATAATGATCGAGGATGAGTAACAAGTAACAACCTTTGCTAGCTAGAACAGTGAAAATATTGAGTAAAGGGACTCAGGCTCCTACCACTCTTGTTATTTACAATTAAACAAACATAAACAATGTTTAATATACCTCTAATTAAGCTATTCCACCGAGAGATATGATGGATGTCGATCCCTTTGAGCTAGTAGATAGGAATTAATGCACGTATGAAAACTCCCTCTTCCTCTTCTTCCTCCAGCCGACACCTTCCTACAATTACAATGTCTTTAAAGAGAGAGGAAAAGGAGCAGTATGTGACTATGTGTGTTGTTTGCAATTAATCATAATCTATTATTACTGATCACAGGAGTAAATATGGTCATTTTGGTTAGTTGATGAGATGGTGGGAGTTATATAAGGGAACTTAAGAGATACTCCACGTTCCACAAAATACTTCGCGATATTGTAACTTGGAAAATGTATGTTTTAACGTTGACTTTTTTTTTTGGATGGCGTAGTATGTACTACGAATAGCATATCATCATTCTACATTCACACCGTCCCTTTACCCAAAAAAAAATGTATTTTTTCTGTCTCAAAATTATTATCTAGTTTAAACTTTTACTTTTAGCTCAATTTGTACTAAAAATGAAATTCTAAACTTGACAATAGTTTTGGCATGGGGGGAGTATAAATTTAATATGGCTTTGCCCAAGTTTACGATCTTGTAACACTATTGATAATGGTTCTGTTGCCAAGGATACCTAAACCATCATTTCAATGGTTACAGTTCCACTTATAATCCGAGTAAAAGACTGAGGACAGGTTAATAAGCCTGAAACCGGAACAAAATCCGCCTTCTTGATGCTTATTTTACTATTCAATTAAAATGTTCAGCTAACCTTTTGATTGAGATTATTTCACAACAACAAAAAAAAAAAAAAAAAACCCTTCTGATTGACATATCTTGCCTAGTCTTTCGAAGTCATTGAAGTAAAAGTTGACAATGTATGCAGCCATGTTGTAAAACATGAAATCAGTTGCAAGAAATATAGTATTAAAAACCAGAACCACTGATAAAACTCCGAAGTTTTTGCGTCTTCAAGAGCATTTAAGCCACATTGCGAGACAAGCTTGAAACTGTAGGCATCTTATCTAACTTAAAATCACAGAAATACTTGCCTGTTCCAGACCGAAACATATACTCCCTCCGTCCCAAAATTATCGTCCAGTTTGAGATTTCACTTTTAGTACAATTTAGACTAAAAATGAAAACTCAAACTGTACAATAATTATGGGACGGAGATACCTCAAGCAACTTCGGTTCAGTACTGGGATGGAGGTAACGTGAGACTCTATCCGTTTCAAGCTTCAAACAATCCTCAACCTGAAAACCAAAAGTAAATAAACGGATCAATAAAAAAAATGAATTAATGGAACTGTGAATACTGAATACCAAACCCAGGCTGGATAATCCACCTTCAGTGTGTGATCAGGAGAGGAGTCTTCCAAATTACACAAAGAAGCTGCTTTCTGAGAATAATAAGCTGCAGTGGCATCCAGTATTTTGGCCTCAAGATCATCCTCATAATGATTCAACCCAATTTCAACAAAAATGCCAACAACATCCTTCAAAAGGGCTGAATCAATTTGCTTTCCTTCACGTTCGTGGTCAATCTATTAGGCAAAAGTAGGATGCAACTGATTAGTGATTTGAATAGCACTTTTTGAAAATTTCATCTCACCCGAACAGTAGCAAACGTATTATCATGAAACAAACAGCATCCCGAACATTCCCCTTTACGTTTGCATAAACCTGTGGAAAGAAGAGTCACAGGTCATAACCACTTGTGTTCCATCACATAAACTGGAAGTAAGAACAAGAGTCTAATAGCATCTGTAGAAATAATGTATATTGTTCTTTGTTTGATTTCAGTCATGACAATGTAGCGTCTTGATGTAAATGTAAAACATAGTAACTACAGCACAATAGTAAAAGGGGCCTTACACAAAATGTAGCAAATAGGAACCAAAAAATAAATAAAGGAAAATTACCAGCTCTCTGAAAGAATTCACACCAACTTCAGAAAGGCTAGGAAGTTTCCTTGGATATATGAAGTTTTCGATCAAGGTAATGAAAGAATCGAATCTTCCATATCATCATGACCTTATGATTAGACCATCTCTTAACAAACTCCCTTAACAGAGATTCGCCATCATCTTTCTCTTGTAGAGAAGGCAATACCTGAGCAAAGATAAGCAATGTTTCAGCTATGTCACCATCTTACCGGAACAAGGGCTAAACACATGTTTGAATATCTTAACAATTTACCCATCAACAACAGAATATGACAGTAAAGACATCATCTCAACAAACAAAACTGAGAAGAAAACTCCTGAAATCCTACTAGATTCTCGACATTATACATGGCACCAATGTATGTTTGTCAAATATAGGTTCTACTGCAATCAAAAACAGGGCAACCACTTCCTTTAACCAAGCTAGTGAAGAAATCCTTTAAATTTATCATCTCTCTAAGTGATCCACTTCCAAAATGTATGCAAAAATAATAACACTGTCTCCCTAAATCATCTAGCAGCAAAACTTTCAAACTTACTTCAGTAAATCAATCAAGATACTCCTCTGTCACATATTAGTTACTCTAGTTCGCAAAACTAACATTAGCCGAGAAGAATTCATTCTTGAACTCAAAATAGACCCAAAAAAATCAAGCTAAATTTCAATGCACCTTCAAAGAATATAACTAGCAACAGTATGCTTACCACTGAAGAGAGATAAGCCTCAAATGTCTCCTTGTACTTGTTGTACAACCTTTCAGAATGGTCGTATGGACCTTTTTGAGTACACATATCGTAAACAATCCTGCACATGAAATTCAAACTCAAATCACTCATCCATATAAAAATCTAAGCCATAAAATTGGAAATTGAATGAGAATTATAAAAAAAAAAAGGGACAAAACAGAACAGAAACAATTACTCGTATAGGCTCATCCGCTCTTCAGGAGTGAACTGCGAATCAGACTTTCCTGCGACCAACTTCTCAAGCTTTTTGAGACCCATCTCCATAACTTCCCAACCCTCATCGAATTCAATCGGCCTCCCGAATTTCAACTGAGCCATTGTCGTCTTTTTTACTGGCGGTGATCAAAAAATCGAAAGCGAGACATCACGACCCACAAAGTCTTAATTCAACAAGAACGTAAACACGAAAGGAGAACAGGTTTTGCAAGCTTACGGAATCAAAATTAAAGAAACCCTAGGAAGGGATTCTAATGGCGGCAAACCGAAGACGGAATAGAAAGAAGACTTTTGACCTTTGTAATGGCTTTTTATAGTTTTTGTTCTAAGCGACGAGAAAGTCAAAAGTTCCAGAAGTTTCTTTTTTTTTTCTTTACATACACATATGTATGTTTCTATTTTTTATTTTCTTTAAGATATTCAACCCAAAAAAAATAAATAAATAAAAATACACACCATCCAAACATAGCCTGAGCTACTAAAAAAAAAAATACTACTACTCTCCTATTGGAATTATGGGCATTAACGTCGTGAAATTTTCAAATATTTTGTTATTTGTACTAAATGTAGGCTAATTTTTTCTTTCTTTTAGCAAAAGGAATATCTCTTATTTGTAGTCTTCGTTTCAAAAAAAAAAATAGTTTGTTTTCTTTTTCTTACCATTATTAGTAGTGATATTCGATTGAAGATGCTCGAAATTTAACTTATTTATTTATAATGTTGTCTCTTTTAAGTTTCCTGGATGAATAGACCCCTAAGTTATGGTCTGATAAACTGTGGGGGATTATTTGATCAAACAAAAAAAAAAATGAAAAGTGTGGGGGGATTAATATTTGATGGAATGAACAACTTTTTAAGGAAGTGACAAATAATTCAACCACTAGAATGAACAATTTTGTTATCACTGATCTTTAATATATTGCGATGGAACCAATCTTAGACAAACAAACATTTTTACCTCAGGAATCGCCTTGTAGGCTTGCATATACAAGAAACAGGAAAAGCATGATGATCAATCAATGCCTACTTTTACTGTTACATTGTAAACGGATGAAGGCGTGGTTAGCTTTCTAACCATGGTTAAATCTGCGAGTAAGTCGGTGTAATAAACAATAGATATGGTTTAGAGTTTAATTAGACGCTTTTTCCTCCAATGCATTTTTGTATATAGATATAATAAATATAACCAAGAATTTATAATTCTTTTTTTTTACTTGTGTATAAGTCAAGAACGGTTTTCTTCAATCCAAAGTTCAAACTCAGAACAAAGAACAAAGACATTATCCATGCAAGAGCATAAAGGAAAACATTGCTATGCTGTTAATTCCTGGAGGATAATACCTCCGCTGCGATTTAAAGGATTCTGAAATGTTCATGATTAAGTTTTCATAAATTTCACTTTCTTAGGAAGGTTTCAACCTACGTTTTTTTTGCTGATTAGATTTAAGAAAGAGCAAATTGATCAAACCTTCTTAAATGAAGTTATTAACATTTTTTATGAAATTGCGATTCATAAACCGGATTATTAAGGGCTTGTTTGGTCAATATTTTATTTTAGTTTTTGTTTTGGTTTTTGATTTGGGTTTGAGATGTGATTTAAAATGTGATTTGAGATAAAATTTAAAAAATTGTTAAGGTGATGTTTTAAATAAACTAATAATATTTTTAGACCATCACCGGACCACCTCTACTACCGCCGCTGCCACCGTCGCCGATCGGTGGGATTCCGGCCAAATTTCGGGGCTGGAATTTGGCCGAAATCCGGCCGGCCGGCCGCCAGCCGTCCGGCGGCGGCGACGGGTGGTGGTGGAGGTGGATAAAAATTGTGTAAAAATAATTTTTGGAATATTTTTTAAAAGGTAAATTAAAAAATTGTTTGGATAGTATTGGGATTTGTTTCATTTTAGAAGTAAAATGAAACAAAAAAAAAATGCAAAATGAAAGTTGGCCAAATAAGCTCTAATTATCAGGAGGTACTTATGCTCAAACAAAATACAGATTCTCACCAGACCAAACAATTAGGTCTGGTCTGCTATTGATTATGTGTTGTGATGGAACATCTTAAAAGCTATTGATTAGGCTGGAGTTATAATTTTACGTTGCCCTTTCAACTAATTACCTTCTGATTAACGTAAATGCATATTTTGAAGAGCCATAAAAAAGTAATAAAAAAAAAGTGAACAATATCTATTGCAAGAAATACTAAAAACTGAAACCCCAGTGACAAAACAGTGCCTCGTGGAATAGTTAATTAAAATTCATCTTCAATTCACAATTACATCATGGCAACAAAAAACCATAACCATCTTGGCAAGTGATTTTCGTTTGATCCTGAGTTTAAGACATGTTGGCCTCACATTTTGTAAATTTTGAAAAAGGAAAATGAACTCGCCACGTAAGCTATATGAAATGTCCAAAAGGCTAGTAAGAATGTGATGCAGAATTATCTGATGCCAACCACACTCAAAGTAAAAATATATGAAAGGATGGTGATTTTATTTTCCTAAATTCATATCATCAAATCATTTCTTGTTTAAAAAATATTTTAAGTTATTTCATTATAGTGCAAAATGCATGCAAATTAACTCTTTTTTAAGTACAAGTGACAAATACTAGGGAGTTATAATAATCGCCAAAATAGTTTTGGCATTGGATTGTATGTTTAGGCAATTCATAGGAAAATTTTAAGAATACATAATCCTATATAATTAGACGATTTAATTTAAAGTGGATTTTGCTCGGAATAATTTTATATTGTGATGACGGAGGTTCACGAGTCTAACTAAAGAAGTCATAAATTAGGATGAAAAGTTGTTTGATCGGAAAGATTTAATCACAAGTAATTTGTACTTGAAGCAAACTTTCATATACTTCATAATTCTATCTACTGTTACCACTTACCAAAATAACTAGAGATCAATTAGCTACTGTATATACAGTATATATGCACCGATTTAGTTTATTTCAATTTACATCAAATTACCTTTTTTCTTTATTAAACAATTCCCTATTTCTTTCACATTCAGAAATCCTTTACCCACCAGTCACGGGAAACCCACAACCCTATAGATACATAATAAATACAAAGGCCGGGGTCTTGGATCTCCTATCTCTTGCCCTAAAATCACCAAAACTAGCCGCAGCCTCCCGAAGATGGCAATATTGCAAGAGAGGTTGGAAAACTTCAAGAAACAGCAAGAAAGATGCCAGGCCACATTTATCAGCACCGCAGAACAGCAAAATCCAATCAAATTCTCAAAGGATACAGAAAGGCTTCAACAGATTAACATAAGGAATGGTTCGGTTGGGGCTCAGATCAAAAGAGTGGTAGACTTGCTTTACGAGAGAAGACAAGCTCTGGGTCCAGAGGAAATAAATCGGGGATGTCACGTTGATTTGAACGCAAATAAGGCCGTGTTTGAGAGTTTGAAGAAGAACCCGAAGTTGGATTATGATGGATCTAGGTTTTCTTACAAGCCTAACCATAATATAAGAAATAAGGATCAACAACTTGACTTGATCCGCAAGTTTCAGGATGGGATTGGTGTTGTTGATCTTAAGGATTCATACCCTAATGTCATGCAAGATTTGGAGTCGCTCAAAGGCGCTGGTCAGATATGGCTACTTTCCAAGTTTGATTCAAAGGAGGATTTCGTTGTCTACCCGAATGATCCGAGGGTTCCGATTGAAGTTGACGATGATTTGAAACAACTGTTTCGAGGGATTGAATCGCCCCGTGACGTGCTCGATATGGAGAAGGATCTTCAGAAGAATGGGATGAAACCTGCGACAAATATAGCCAAGAGAAGAGCCATGGCGCAAGCAATTCATGGAATATCCAACAAGCCCAAGACTAAAAAGAAGAAGCTTGAAATCAGCAAGAGGACCAAGCTTACCAATTCTCATCTTATGCACCTTTTCCAGTAATCTCGTTGTATCCGTGGAGGAGGTTGTGACACTTCGGGAGCAACGGATGGCTCCTCATCATAAATCTTTATATTTCCTTGTCCAAATAAATAGTTACTTTTCAAATTTGTTCTAAAATTAGTGCAAATCTCGAAACTCGATATAAACTATTTTTTTTTTTTTGTAAAACAGTAAATTCATGTATTAACTTCACAAACTGTGCAATGCTATTTCATCTATTACATGTATTTAAACTGTCTGAATAAACACCTAATTGAGCTAGAAAATTCCTGTCATTAACTCTAATGATCCTGCATTGAAACTGAATTTTCTGTCTGATCTCATGCTTGATTCTGTCAGCTCGTTCCTTTGCTGCCATTGCTTTCTGCCCATTCCTTCTTCCATTTCTCTCATCCAGATGCCATAGATTGCAGCATTTAGACATGCAAATAAGATTCTCTGTCTTAGCTTCCTTCTTTTCCAGATTTGTAGCAACCTTTGAGCATTTAGTCCTTGGATAGCATTTCTGATGTCCAGCCTTCTTCTGAGTTCTGCCATTAGTTCTTGTGCATAGTCACATCTGAAATAGAGATGCTCAACACTATCAACTGCCTTCTGACATAAACCACACATATTATCACTTACTACCAACTGCAAGTCCATCAACCTTTGTGCTGTCAGCAGCCTGTTCTTCCAAGCCAACCAACTGATAAAGTTGTGCTTAGGAAGACTCAGGTTACTCCATATGATCCTTGCTGGTGCAAATCTTCTTCTTTCCCCCCTTAACAGGTTATATCCACTCCCAGCAGTATATAGTTTAGTTGTTGTAACTGACCATTGCCCTCTTTGTATTCCTGCTTTCAATAATTCTTTGAACTTCATCAGTTTCTTCATATGCCAGCTAATATCATGAGGTAGTTTATACTGCCAGAGGTCCTTTCCTTTAAGATAGTAGTGATGCACCCATTTTACCCACGTGCTGTCTTTATTCTTTGCTATATCCCATAACCGTTTGCCCATTAGTGCCATATTCCAGGTCCTTGGCTCTTTCATGTTTAATCCACCCTTTTTTCTTGCAGCAAAGATCATCGCAAGCCACCAATGACCAGCTTTTCCCAGTGTCCTTTGTTCCCCACAAGTACCTCCTACATTTACTTATAACCTGTTGTATCACACTTTGTGAAATCAAGAAAATACTAGCCCAGTAAGAGTTGATGCTCAACAGAACTATGTTAATCAATAAAGCTCTCCTTGCATATGATAAGTGTCTTGAACTCCAGCTGTTTATCCTGGCAGTAATCTTTTCAATCAAGATTTAACATTCAGCTTTTGTCCATGATGTAGGAGATATAGGCAACCCTAAGTATTTCATAGGGAACTGGCCTACTATAAAGCCCATAATCTGTTGGATTTCTGTTTTCACCTCTGCTGTTTGTCCTCCAAAGTATAAACTAGACTTGCTGATATTGATAGACAGTCCAGTTGTCTCCTCAAATTAATTCAACACAGCTTTAATTTTCCTTACTGTTTCTACTTCAGCTCCACAGAATATGAGTAGATCATCTGCAAAGCTAAGGGAAATAATCTTCAAGGTTTCACAATAGGGATGATACTGAAAGTCTTCCTTTTCTTCTTCCATTTTCAGCAATCTAGTAAGATATTCTATTACTATTACAATAAAGGATCTCCTTGCCTCAGTCCTCTTCTTCCCTCAAAGTGACCTATAATACTACCATTCAAGTTCAGGGAGTATGAACTGGCGGTTACACATTCCATAATCCAGTTGATCACTCTTTTTGGGAATCCATATTCCTTTAACATCTCTCCAATAAAATCCCAATGAACTTAATCAAATGCCTTCTTTAAATCCACCTTCATGACACAACTTGGTTTAGCATTTTTTCTCCTATACATCCTGATCAGCTCCTGGGTTAACATGATATTATGAAAGATTAACCTCTGCTTGATAAACGCACCTTGATTGAGGTCCACCAATTCAGGTAATATTAGGCTCATTCTCTTGCACGGCATCTTGGAGATGCATTTGTATACTGTATTGCAGGATTTCTGAATTCTGCAGCATTTCTTGGCACTTCTGTTTTTGGTAGAAGAGAGATGAGTGTTGCATTCAATTGCTTGAGCAGTTTCCCCTTACTGAAGAACTCCAATACTGCATCAGTCACTGCATTTCCAACTATTGGCCACATTTTCCTGTAAAAACCAATGCCAAAGCCATCTGGACCAGCACTCTTATTGATATCAATCTCAAACATAGCTTGTTTTACATCTGCTGGAGTAAAGTTTGCAGTCATGAGAATCTGCTGGTCTATTGTCAGTGTGATCCCTGATATGAAAACTTCATTCTTTGCTTTTGTTCTCTTCCAGCATGTTCCTAATAGCTGCTGATAGTACTGCAAGAAATGATGTTCTACTTCAGGCCATTCTTCTATCAGCTCCCCTTGTTCATTCACAAATGATCTGATCTTATTCCTGATAGTCTTCTGCTGAATGCTAGCATGAAAGAATCTGGTGTTCAGATCTCCCTCCTGAATCTATCTATCTTTTAGTTTTTGATTCCAAAAACTGATTACTGCCTTGCTATATTCACAGTATGTTTTAGTTACTATTTTCTCCTCCTCCTGAATAAGCTCATCCCTTGGATTGCTCAGTAGTCTTTTCTGCACATCTTCAAGTTTCATTTTCCACTCCTTCTCTTTCATCTCTATATCAGCAAAGTGTTGTTTGTTGAAATTTTTCAGCAAAGGTTTCAACAGATTCTGTTTTTGTATCAGACAAAACTGTTTACTTCCTTGTATTTCCTGACTCCATCCTTCTCTTATCACAGCTTCAAAATCTTTATGTTCCATCCACATATTAAAGAATTTGAATGATCTTCTATTTTCCACTTTCTCTTCTCCCCATTTCATCATTAAAGCTGAATGGTCAGAAATTCCTGCGGGTAGAATGTTGACATAACATTGAGGAAAGTTTGTAAACCATTCATCATTAATAAGAACTCTATCCAGTTTAGCCCATATTCTTTGATCTTCTACTTGTTTATTGCTCCAAGTAAATTCCCCACCATATGTTTGCATCTGCCATAATTCACATGTCTTAATCATAGCCTTAAATTTGTCTAAATCAGAACTGATTTCATTCATTCCTCCCAGCTTTTCTTCATTACTCAGAAGGCAATTATAATCACCCATCATTATCCAAGGCTGATGTATTCCTTTGGCTAAGTCCACCAGCTCCTGCCAAAGTTGATTTCTGCCCTGAACTGTATGATCAGCATACACCACTGTCAAATAATACTCATTTCTTTGCTCTTGCACCAAACAGTGTATGAACTGTTTTGTGATAGCTTTCACTGCTACTACATACTCTCCTTTCTTCCATATCAACAGTATCCTGCATTTCTCTTGATTCTGATGATTGCTGATATAATCAAAATTGGTCCATTTTCTTGCCATTAACTGCTCAACATTTTCACCATTTAGCTTGGTCTCAATCAATCCTGCCATCCCAACCTTATTAACATAGAGGAAATTAGTGATTTCCCTATGTTTCAGGGGACTGCTAAGTCTCCTTACATTCCATGAACTTATGGTATTCATGATTCCTAGACCCTGAATCAGGGTGACTAGTATCATTATAACATATAGAGTTCACTGATTTCAATTTGTCAGTTAACCTTCCTTCAGCTATCCTGATGCCTTTCTGATTCAGAATTTGCACTCCATCCTCCATTATTCCTTGACTGGAACCAGGGCTATTGTTGACTTCCTGCCTGTCACTTTTCTGAGGTGATCTTATACAATTCTTACTGTTTGCTTCCTGCCTTTTAGGTATAGTCACTGTCATAGGCCTGTTTTGTTGGTTCTGTTTTCCTTCTCCCTCTTTCTCTAGCTGCTTATCCTTCAATGGTTGTCTCTCTTCCACTTGTTCTGGCAATCTTTGTTGCCATACCTTCTTAACTGGAACGCTGCACTTTTCAGTTTCATGACCATATCCTCTGCAATTTTGACACTTTAATGGCTTCCATTCAAATCTGATCTCCTGTTCCTGCAATTCCCCTTTTTCATTTTCAAACCATACCACATCTTCCAATTTCTCCTTATTTCAACCTCTATCAGTACACGAGCATAACCTGGTCTCAGTTTTTGAGATGTCATATCATCCATCTCAATTGGATTGCCAACAGAACTAGCAATTCTGTTGAGTGAGGTTGCATTCCAGTATCTCAGTGGCAACTTTGGCAGTTGAATCCACACTGGTACCTTTAAGATTTCATCCATATTAATCTCTTCCTCAACTAACCAACCATTTACAATGAAAGGCCTGTTGTCAAAGTGGTACAGGTTGAATTTCAGCACTTCCTCTTTTGCTGCTATTGTCTTGAATCTAACCACAAACATACCATTTTCCAGTAGCAAAATTTTATCCACTCCCAATCGTCCCTAATTCCTTCTGATATATCCATTCACTACTGGAAACGGAGGATTTGCTCCAAGTACATAGCATAATACTGAAGACTTCCAGTAATCAACCTCAGTTTGCACTTCCTCTTGTGTAATTTTGCTAATAGCACGATCATTCATCTTTCTAGGCTCAATATACCTCAGCTTCTTATCATTCTGTTGCAGTGATTTAGGGTCGAACGAATTCCATACGTTTGGCTCAGGAAATTCTGCTTCCTTATCAGATTCAGTGTTATTATTCCTTTTCTTCACTCCCGAACCTTCCCCCATAGCAATTATGCGATTATTACCTAAGCTCTTCAGCATTAATGGCGATTCAGACAAATTAATTGCAGAGTTAGGTTTAGGTGCCTCTTTCAAACTGCCACAATTTAGTGTGAATTCGCCCATTGGATGTCATTTTTCCTCATCTGGTTGCTTAGCGGTGTTGCTTGTAGCTGTTTCCCTCTGATTCTTCGTCTTCCTTGCCATCGCAGACGTGAGATCACGTCGGAGAAGTGGTTGACGGTTACACACACTCAAGGTGTAATCGCCCACAGAGACAGAGAGAAACTTTTTTACTTTTTGGAAAATTCAATTGTGAATTGATACAAACTATTTTTGTGGAACAAGTCATAGTATAATTTTTATTCATCGGTGACTTTAGTTTATTATAATTTTGTCATTTGGCTTCAGAATTGTACAACCTGATGACCCAATTTGACATGTGATCAGTGCTACTTAAATTTGCACAGTGATTTGTATAACCCTCTGAAAAATAAGACATGGGGAATATAGTTTGGTTTTAGCTCATTTAACTCCTTCATGCTTGTATTCTACATGTTTGTTTCCCATGGAGTAAGATTTGATCGTGTGAAATGGCAAGTGTTTTTTTTTTTTTTACTTACGAAAATTGGTTGCAAAAATCTCTTGTATTTATGTTTTTTTTTAATCTCAACATGAAATTTAATAGCCATCAGAATAATTAGACTCATTAATTAGGCGAACTCTTCGCGAAGGAACAATATAATTAGACTAATAATTAATATAAAGTGAAAATTTTTTCGGAACAATTTTATATTGTGATGGATATTTACGAGACTGATGGAAGAAGTCATAAAACTTGGACGAAAAGTTGTTTGGCCGGCAAGAATTACCGTTTAATCACAAGTAATTAACTTTTACTTGAAGCAAAAGTTAATATCATTCATCTAAAATATCTTAGTATACGAAAATAACTAGAGCTTAACTAGCTGTAGTAAATAAACAGATGGAAATCGATAAATTGAGAGCAAAAATTTTATATTGAGGACAAATTTTTATCAAATACCAATAGTATCCTTTTACATAATTTGTACTAATACATATACCATAGTAACATATTTTCAATGTAGATAACTTTTATATTCTTATTTTATTTTTTTATATCAATGTTTTATTATTTATGAAATTTGACTATTTTCATTGAATTTTTTAACTATGAAAATTAAAATATATAAGCCCTAACCCGAAAAAAGTGAATCCTTAGTCCTAAAATATATAACTTCGAATGTGATTGTGAATGGTATATGTATTGACACAAATTATATAATTTATAAGGAGTAATTAGATTGTGTCACAGTGAGTTTCACAAGAAAGTGGCACAGAGGATCCTATGCTTAAACGGGTATATCCAATAACTAATACTTTTATTATTTCTCTCTCGCAACGAATCTTCCATATTAATTTAGTTTATTTTATAAATAATTACCTTTTTATTAAATAATTTCCAGTTTGTTTTACATTCAGGAGTCCTTTTCCCACTAGGATAGAAAGAACCCAAAGCCAAACCCCTATCTATTAATACAAGAGATTTCAGCAACCCTTTTTTCCGTAGGTATCTCAACATCAAATCTATAGCTATCAGAATAATCTTCTTTAGCTAGCCTTCTTTTAACAGCTTCATCAAAAGGGTTTTTTTTTGGGTGGGGAAAGGGGGGAATTTGGCTAAAGGGCTGTAGAAGAGGTCAAATTAATAAAAAGAGTATGACCAAAAAATATTTTGTGCGAAGGGCGGTAATTTATTTGTGAAAATTTTCAAAATAAAAGATACTGTGAACTGACTATGTCACCCTTATAATTTCTTACACAAAATAATATTAAAAAATATTATGAAAGCCTAAATCCTTTGTTTGATGGAATAACTATGGAATGACTCCAATTTTGAAGCTTAGCCCCATAATAAATGGCAGCTAATCTGATTGATGATGCTATATACTAAACAGAAAATTACAAAGAAAATGATGCCGGGAAAACCTCTGTTTCAAGCAGTGATTTTGAGCAAACAGACAAGAACACCTCTTTGTTGCAAAAACAAAATGTGGGAGAAAGGATGAGGATGGATAACCATGAATTTGGTCATTTTCTTTTGCGCTTTTCACCCTTTCTGCACAACTTCCTCCACCGCCTCCTCCCTCTCGCCCCTCCATCTGCCACAACTAAACCCAATTCAATTTAATCCAATTAGCGTGGGGTTCACAAATTTTGGCATACATATTAACTTCGTGATGACGAAAAAATCAAAGCAGCCACATTGGATAATTAAAAATCTGTAAAACCACTAAACTATCTCATGATTGATTGCTCTCTACTTGCATAATTCATCTATTTTCGTAACTGCTAATCAAAATTTATATCCATCAGAAGAACTCCACTATTTTATACCCATTTAAAGTTCCACTTTTGATACCCATTTCTTTTCTTCACAGAAAATCCAGGTCAAGCTTTTCTGGATTTCTAATTTAGGAGTTCACTTGCCTTCATTTTTGAGTTAGGTTGGATCAATTTGAATCTTGACATTAGACGTTTATTGATTTGATGATTTTTTTGGATAATAATATTAAATTGACGAAATTTGAGTAGAGTTTGGTGGTGATGGCCGACGGAGGGAGGTGCAAGAGGAAAATAAAATAGAAGTGGTGTTTAGGCACTGTTGAGGTGCAGGGGAGGATGAAAAAAAAAAAAAAAAGAAAAGTCAACCCAAATGATGCTCAATATTTTTTTTTTCTGTAAGAAATATAAGGGTGACATTGTCAATTATCAGTATTTTTTATTTTAAAATTTTTTACAAATAAATTACCGCCCTTCATATAAAATATTTTTTGGTCATACCTCTTTTATTAATTTGACCTCTTCTACCACCCTTTAACCAAATTTTTCCTTTTTTTTCTGTCAATACTGCAACTTTTTCAGTCCCTTGTGATTACAATCAATATGGCAGAAGTTGAGATAGGTAAAGTCATGGAAGAGAATTTGATCGATTCTGTCACCATCCTGGCCGGAAGGATGGAAGACCTGATGCTCTCTGAATCCGGACAGCCGGAGGTCGTCGGCCCAGAGAATCCGGTCGATTCCTTCATTAACAAAAAGAAGAAGAAGAAGAAGGCAGCAGAACCGTTGACTAGTCAAACGTACGATCAAAAGGAATACGAAGAACTTCTTTGCTGCGTATACGATCTCCTCTACCAAAGAAATCCCGAGCTTATACGGTGGCAAAGGATAGTGATAAATCCTCCCGAGCTTCTTCGCGGAGCTAGAAAGACGTTTTTCGTGAATTTCACTAACATCTGCGCGAGGATGCGTAGGGAACCTCAACATGTTATGAGTTTCTTGTTGACAGAATTGGCAACAAGTGGTTCAACTGATGGACAATTTAGGCTGGTTGTGGAAGGAAGATTTGGGCCCCATAATTTTGAGTTGCTATTGAGGAAATATCACAACAAATTCGTGGTTTGTGACGGTTGCAAAAGTTGTGACACGATCCTTTCGAAGTCGAAGGAGAACCGGATCTTGTTTCTTGAATGTCAAGATTGTGGTTCTACGAGATCCGTTGCCCCGATCAAGGTTGGATGTGTTGCTCGTCTTGGTCGCAGGAAGGCTGCTGGAAGAACTTGAGTTTTGAGTCGCCGAATATATCTAGGGTTTTGTTTTCTTTTCTTTTTGGCAAAGTGTTTTCTTTAAGCCCCCACTGAATCATGTGGTAATATGAATCAGAGTTATTGTTATTATTATTTTAATATTTTTTTTAGGTGTTTTAAGAGTTGATATACTTTTTGATGGAACCAAATTTGAAGAATGCAATGCAAGAGAAGATTTTCTTTGTTACTTAATTATTATATATATAACCCTATTTATTATCACGCAGTCTTTGATGTATGTAACTTGATCTTCACAAAGAAAAAGCCCTATATGAGCTTTAATTGGTTCAACATGTTTTGAATAGTGTGAAATTTTTCCGCTTTTTGGAGGTGTTTATCGTGTTGCACCATCGACGACTTTGTTGTGATAAGAGAATAATTTGTGACTCCTTTTTTTACAATTTCAATGACTAGTTTTGTTCCATTTATACGAGTAACTTCTCAATGTAGTAGTGAACATGAACACAGAACAAAAATCGTCGCAATGCTAATTTTAGTTGGATTCCAATAGGTAACCTTCAAAGCTACCCTCAAAACGAGATAACAATTGAAGAAGATAGATATCTTTCAAAACTAAGAAGAGCTTCATACAATAGAAAAGAGAAGAAGAAGACTATTTGTTAGAAGAAATTACAAAGTGCTTAGATTCAAGACTAAGTAACTATCAACTCCTTCTGAAGAACACTAGTATGTACTTCTACTCTTCTATATATAGGGCATGGCTGCCTCAAAATCTTTTACGTAACATTATCCCATTTTCCTATTCCAATTTCAGAAACAAACGATTGACCAATCTTAAATTAACAAGGTTAAATCTTTTGCTTATCATACAGACTGAAGTCCAGTGTAACACATCCACGTAATACATTACTTAGTAACGCTCTAAGCTCTTCTTCTTTTTCTTTTTTCTTCTTTTTTTTCGACTAAAAGATAAGGCTCCATCTATATGCTTTCCTATCATATTGTACTGAAACATGTACATCTTCAGTCCACTATGTTCTCCCTTTCTTTTCGATAGTTTTGTATGATTTGGTTTTAGTTGATGTTTCATGGAGAACAACAATGATTAATCAGATCACGGCCTAAACTCTAAAGCACACGTGATTCTGACTTTCTTTTCTTTTTTTGCATATTGCAGTATGTCCACTGTTGGTAACAGTGATTAATCCCCTCGCTCATAGTAGGTACCTCGATAGGTAGGAGAGTTGGCCAAAGAATTTAAAGTTATTCATACTCATGGCGAGGTTCAAACACTCGATCTATGGTTAACATGATTATGAGTTTGTGAGGTGCAAAAAAATTGAGGCGAATTGGACTCAATAGTTATACTAGTTTAACGGGTCAAATTGATGGACATTTCTATACTAAGGTACTTGGGCTTTCAAGTTCATTTTTAGCTCCTGAATTCGCCCAGTGGACTACTACGTCCACTCCAGGTGTTAATCAAGGTGTTTTCAAACTGATGATGTTTTTAAGTTGAAAATATTCCCTCTCTTCCTGTTTTAGTTATCTTGGAGAATTTCCTAATTGCTAAAATTGAAACTTCAGTAAACGTTACAATTTTGATTCGTTACACTTATCAATCGACAAAATTTGTCAAACAGATATTATCTTAAGATAGTAAAACGAAAAATACGATAACTTTAACACATCAAATTTTTTTGTATATTGCAGTGTATCCGCCGTCGGCAACAGTGACTAATTCTCGTGGCTCATGATAGGCACCTCGATAGGTGGGAGAATGAATTATTATTTATTATTTAAATTATCATTTATCATTTAAATGATAAGTATAGCCATTTTATTACTTTTTATTTTATTTTATTTATTTGTTTGGATACACATAACGCTAAAAGTCGGTAACAAATAGGATAGCGCTTCTCGAAACTAACATGTAATTTCTTCCTTCCTTTTTTTTTTTGGTTCGCCAGGAATCCTAAATTGATCTAAAAGTTAGTAAAAACAACATTTAAGTAAAGATTAAATCCCCAAACCAGCATGATTTACATGAATGTAAACTTTAAAAAAAAAAAACAAAAACAAAACAAAAGGATAAAGGTCGCGGCGATGTTAAGGACACCTTTTAATTTTTAAACCTTCACATTTTGCAACCCATCATCATCCTTATTAACTCATCCTTTTAGTTAATCTGCAATCGACAATCATTCACGCGATTCATCCATGCCTTAAAATACATACTCCTTTAATTATTTTATTTTGATTCTAACCAAAAAAAAAACAAAAAAAAAAGTTACTAGTACTAGTATAGAATAACCAGAAAGAATATTGTATGCAACTTTGTATTTTATGTTTTTAAAGTGTAGAAACTAGATCAATTATGATAAAAGTAAATAATTAATTTTTTTTCCTCCCTACATGATAATTTCACTTATAATAAAGTTCTGTAGTCACTCTATTTGTATAAGCTTTACAAACTAACACGTGAAATTGAATCACATCTATAGAAAAACTGCTTTTGCCGCCGACTGCGTTATTAGATTAACATATAAAACAAATTTATGAACTAATACTCGTACTCCTTCCATTCTAAAATATCTATCGTCTTGGATTTTGTAAAATTTTTTAAAATATATGTCGTTTAAATCAAGACAATTTTGTCTTATTTTTTCAGAATTGCACTTGTATTAGAAATAAAAATATATTCAAAATTATATTGTATTGATTGGTGATGAGTTCTGCAGATAATAATAAATAAGGGTGATTTGTATTTCAAATATTTTATTTAATGTTTCGTAGTATTGGTGAAATTGCTAAAAAGATATATTTTGTTTAAAGTAGAAGTGTTTCAGAATTAAAAAATATTAGAAATAAAATTGTATTGACTAAATGATATTAATTTAACATTTTAACCAATTATTTTTCGTTTTTTTAAATTTTATGCAATTTCTTCAAGGACATCTATTTTGGAAATAAATTGGGTGATCTACTCAAGCCTTTACATACATTGTCAGTATTACCCCTATTTATCAACATTAGCCAAAATTGCTCCAATTGTCTCAATTTTCGTAAAACTTAACGGATATCTGTTAGGTTTAGTCATAAAAACACTCTAATAGTTTTAAAAACTATAAAAATGATCCAAAAATTTTTAAAAATACCAAAACAGTCTATTTTTCATTTTTTATTTAATTTTTTTATTTTTATATCTTTTTACTCCTCCGTTCCGCAAAAATAGTTCAGTCTGAAAATATACTAACTTTTCTAATTTGGTCAACCCTACCAAGGTAGAACTCATTTTAGTTTTCAAATTTCCATTTCTACCCCTATTATATCCAAAAGCTTCGCCAAATTTGAAACCCACAAATCCTCTCTTTTCTTACCGGAGTACAAATCCCAGCGAGACCACTTCGAGGCTTCGAGCCATGGACGTTGCCGGGACCAAAAACGGCAGAGGGAGTTGGAGAGATGCATGAGGAACGCGCCGAACGTTGGGAGGACGATGACATTGTTGACTGAATTTGAGGGGAATTTCTAACTTCGCACCCCCGTAATTTTCCTAATGCTGTGGGCTCAACAATGGAGCATTCGATTGATCAGAGAGGAAAAACCGGCAGAGGTTTTTATTTTGGTTCAGTTTTTTGGGGAAAGGTGGTCGGAGAATGGTGGTGGAGAGGGATTAGGGGGGTCGCGCCGGGGGGTGGGATAGAGATGGGAGAGAAATTGTGAAATTGGTTTTTGGTGAGGTGGATGTTGGGGTAACTAAAAGTAATAATCTTTTAGTCTCAGGGCTGTTATTGTAATTTTAATTATTTTTTATTTTGACTTTTTAAAACTAGACTATATTTTTTGGACAAGATTATTTATTAAACTGGACTATTTTTGTGGGACCAAGAGAGTACTATTTTTCATAACTATAAGAATACACTATATGATCTCTTAAAGAAACATTTATTTATTTTTAAACTTTACAATACAATTTTATATTACATATTTGTAACTCATGGTTGATTTATATATACATACTAAATTTTTAATAATATAAGTTAACAGTAATGATGCTGTTTTTTTTATCCAATTTTTTGTTTAATGTAAAACGTAAGATTATTTAACTAAAACTGATTTTTCACCAAAAAAATTATTTAGCTTAGATTAAAAAAATTATTGGTATATTTTCGTGTATTACAATTTAACTCAATATACTATAGATTGTATTATATAATTCAAAAAAATAATTAAACGAATATATAAATTCTCTTTAAAAGGCTAAGTACGAACAAAAGTATTTTTTTTAAAAAAAAATCTATTTCGTTTCTACGTTGACCCAACACGATAATATAGTGTTGTGACTTTTAAAAAATGGTACAAATATTCTATAAAAAAATATATATTTATCATTGCGAGGTTTAACATCTCGTGATTTTTTATTTTGAAAATTAGTTTTTAGTTAAAAAAATCTTATTCTTTAGATTAGGAAGAAAAAAACGGATCAAAAAAATAATATGATTACTGATAAACTATATTATTAAAAAATTAATATGTTTATATAAATCAACCATGATTTACAAGTATGTAAATATAAACTTGTACAGTAAAGTATAAAATAACTAAATATTTCTTTAAAAATCATATAGTATATTTATATGGTTATGAAAGATAGTAAAGATAAATAGAAAACAAAAAAAATAAATAAGAAATAAAAAGAGACTGTTTTGTTATTTTTTACAAACTTTTAGGGTTAATTTTAAAATTTTATAACTACTGGGGTATTTTGTGATTAAAAATAACAAAAATCTATTAAGTTTAACGGAAATTGGACAAATTAGACAAAATTGGCTAACATTTGAAAGATAAGAATAATACTGGCTAACCGAAAAAAATAAGATAACATGCATATCTCATGTAAAATTTTAAGTAGATCGATTACTTCTTCTTGTATTTTGGAACATAGGTACTGGTATTTTGGGACGGAGGGAGTATACTTCTTCCCAAATTTTTAATCCATTTTCTTCTTTTGCACATGATCCTCACATGTCATCTAGAGTGGTTGACAATTTTGATAATATAGCCCCCGGCAAACCCAACTACTTCTCCAACCTGTGAAGAAGATTGATTGAAAACGTGGATGGGTCCCAGAAACATGCAAAGATACGGACCCTACAGAAAGAAATATATACACGAATATTTAATATATCTTTTTTCCTTATTAGCAGCAATAGTAAGAAGAAAATGAAAATTACTTTGAACAAAATCACCGCCGCCACGTGCGGTGTCGACATAGTCAAAGGTAATTCAAAAACTTTCAAAAAAATAAATGTATTAATACGTGTCGAGAAATGATTGGCTGGATTGACGTGCGACATGAGGTTTTATTGGAAGATGGGGCTGGTTTCACCTATTGGCATCGTAGTGGTCGCCCGACCGTTGCGTAATCGGCCCGCGCTCTCATTATCGCATTGGAAACTCAAACGAATTGACCATATTAGCCCTTCCAACTTTTACATATTACTAATCATACCCCCTATTCTTTATTCTTAATTTTTAAGATTTGTTTTTTTGAAGTCCAAAGATTTGAGTTGAGATTTTGGTTGTCTACATCAAGTGACAATTACAAGGTGGAGAATAATAATAATGCTTGGTTTTGATTGACTAGCAGTTGTGGTTTTGGAGTGGAGTGCTGATTGTTGCATATGGGCGTGTTTCATGTTTGGTCTACTCCCATGTTCTTAAAATCTTTTATATGTTTTTGGTGTCTTGTTGTTGTTAATAATAGGTAGAACCTATACCAACAAAATATCATGATGGTTAGGTTTAGGGGATTGATTTTAAGTCAAGGGAAGTATTGAAATCGAAATTACATCTTGTATTGCAATAATACTAAACTACAAAAATATGCAGGAATGATAGAGAAATTCTATTGTGCTTGAATAAACTCGGTTAACAATTGTAAAAAGGATAATTATTTTTATGTGAATAAAAAATACGATTTAAAAATTTGATCATTATTTGAACTATTCAGTCGAAAAAAATAATTGTGATTTAATCGACTCTGACCACTAATCATTTATTAGTTGCGGCACAAGAAAGTTTCTTTTACAAAGCCTTCTCAACAAAATAGTTTTGAGTAATATTGGTGTTACTGTTTTATTTCGATAAATGTAACTCTAACTTTGGGACAGAAGGGTGCAAATGACGATTAGCCAAAGTAGCAAATATAATCCATTTATTTCTCCCAAATTTACAAAGTTTTATAACCACAATCCTTTAATGAAAAGAAGAATCACAAAAATCTGACTTGCTTCCAAAACCCTCAAACACCTTTTACTTTTTATTTTCTTTTCTCCCCTAAGAAAAAAGAAAAAAAGAAAATCAAAAACCTCAAAGCAACAAAAGCATAGTAAAAAAAAAAAAAAGAGAACCATACCACCATCTCTTTCTCTTCTCCCCCACCAAAACAAACCTAACTCTTCAAACCCCCCTTCGTGGGTATCGGTTACAATTCAATACTACTTTTTCTCTCCAAATTCGGCCAAAAACGAAAACAGGAAAAAAATTTGTCCCAAAGTAATAAAAAGATGGAAGCTCTGCAAACCAAAGAGGCGGCAGCAGCCACAGTCACAAGAGAAGAAGAAGTACCATCTTTCATGGTGGACGATGATGACCTCCTCAACTTCTCCTTGGACGACGGCGACGAAGAACCCACCAAAAATATTACTAGTATTTCCAAAGGCCCTTCTTTTTCTTCCTCAATCCCTCTCCTTAGCCATAACCTGGATGACGATTCTCCGCCTTTCCCTGTAAGTCCCTATTCCACGGCTAATATGCTTTGTTGAAAATTTATTTAGGCCGGGTTTGTGCCTGACACGGCCGAGTTTGGGCTATTTGCATGAAACCCGGCCGGAAAACGTTATGACTCGGCCGCCTTTGTGATTTGACTCGGACTGAGTCGGTTTCCGAGTCACTCTTGAAACTGTTACGGACTTCCGGTTTTGACTTAATTATTCCTTCGTGGGTTGAATAATTTATGAACTGTGGTGACGTTTTTGTTATTTGGACGAGCATGAGGGGTATATCGGGAATATCGAAAAAAGTCCGAGTTCTGAGTTCTCTGACTCGGCGGCGGTGAGCTGAGAATTAGGAAACCAACCAGTCAGATAGTGGGATGACATGTTTACCCTTGGAAACCCTAGAGATGAAATGAACAAAGAATTGGCCGCCGAGGGGTATTTCGGGAATACAGAAATTACTTTTGACGCGTCTTCATTATTAGCTGGATGGCGTGCGTGCCCCATGCTGTTGGGTTGTCTGAAAGGACAACTTTGACCCTACCAAAGTGGCCATTTTCCCTTGTTTGGATACACATGTTCCCTGTTCACAATTTCTGAATTAAATCATAATTCCACTATATTTGAAAATGAAATTATATGGGCAATTGAATTCAATTTTTGAAGCGCTGATAAAAAATATTTGGAGAATTTACATTCAAATTGAGTCCATTTTTATCAGTCAACTCTGTTTCGAAAGCTGTGTGGGGACTAGGGAGTGGTCCTAAATTGTTGTCTTTTCCTTATTTTTTGTGGCAATTTTGAGCACTGATGATCAGTGTCAGGTTCATCACAGCTTAGTTAGAATGGAATTCGGTTGGTTACTGATGTTATTTGAATTTGTTCAGGAATTTGTGGAGGAAGAGCTTGAATGGTTATCAAACAAGGACTCTTTCCCATCTGTGGAGACATGTTTCGACCTTCTATCCGAGGACCCGGAAATGGAAGCTTTGGACCACCAGAGCCCTGTGTCGGTTCTTGAAAATAGCAGTAGCAGTAGCATCAGTAATGGAAGCAGCAGTGGAAATGGCAGTACCATCATGAGCTGCTCTGGGAGCCTTCAGGTTCCAACAAGTTTCCCCGTCCGGGCACGGAGCAAGAGACGATTAAAGAAAAGAACTGGCTTTGGTGATTTCTCTGGTCAGCAATTACTCTGGTGGAAACAATTGAGTGTTAAGAATAATAATAGGCGTGAGGTCTTGGCACCATTGTCCTCGAAGGTGAATAATGGTGCTAGCATTGGTAGGAGATGCCTACATTGCAATACTGATCAGACACCACAATGGAGGGCTGGGCCGATGGGACCCAAAACGCTTTGTAATGCTTGTGGTGTACGCTACAAGTCTGGGCGACTGGTGCCTGAGTATCGACCCGCCAGTAGTCCGACGTTCTCAGCTGCATTGCATTCTAATTCTCATAGGAAAATAATTGAGATGAGGAAGCAGAAACAGATAGGAATGGGAGGATTCATAGAAACCGAGATTGGACTGGATGATGGCGGACGTGGGTTGTGGATATAGGGTAGGATTGGGGTTGCTAGTTTGTTGCCTCTTCTAAACGGTAGTTTTAACATAGGTTAGAGTTTAGAGTTTGTTGTAATGGTGGGTAGGTTCGTTTTAGTGAACCGTATTTTTTTTTCTTTTATTTCCATCAAAATCCATTAGGGAATTTTGACGCTAGTGTGTTTCAGTTATGAGTCAGGTATGGAAGATGCAACAGATGGTTTTGGTTTTTTCAAAGTTTATACAGGTCATCTTTCTCTTCTGCGTGCTTTTGAATGAATGGCCCAGGGGCCATACTATGGTAGGGGTAGCATACTTGTTCAATCTCATTTTTCCTCTGGATACTGGTTTTTGCTGCTTCTGGAGTGATAAATGAATTGGTAGTTGCATGTAACCTCAAATTGGTGATTGTGCTTGAATTCGTGAATGTTGTGTCTTGAGGAGGACAAGGTGTATTTGTCATTGCATATGCTGGATTTTGTTGGTTGCAGTTACCGTTATTTGTTAGTTATACATTAGGTATCTGTTAATAATTTTTTATATAGCCAAAGTCGGCCTTGCATAGCAGGACCAATGTTAATTGCAGTTGTGCCTAGAGTTTATTACATGTTTGGCTTCTAGTTTGTCGATACTTTACACTCTTTGACAGGATGTGTGCTCATATGATCAACCGGTTGGCATGTTTTAGTGAGGGAGTTTGTTAGAGTTTGGAGACTTTGTTTGCTGCTGAATTGTCTACAGTATAAAAACTTAGATGGTCTGCAATCACCTGTGTTTGCAATGTGAATATCTTTTACCAATACCGGATCCGAAGCTTCTTTCGCCAATTTTGGCTGTCCATGAAGTCTTTGGCTTCTGGCATAAGCAGAGTTGGCGAAAAAAGCTTACAATACAATCACAATGGATCCATTTGTTTGGGGAAAAAATGTCGTTCCTACCTAAAACTTTGTCCTCGTTGTCAATCATACCTAATAGATTTTCGGTTAGTCAACTTTACTCTAATGTTTTAAATTTTCGCTAATTTTGTCCAATCAGTCAATTTTCCGTTCAAATTAACAGATCTCCGTTAGTTTTTTAATAAAATAATAAATTAAATACAAAAATACTCCAATAATTTTTAAAAATTTTAAAAATAACCCCTAAAATATATAAAAATAACAAAATAGTCTCTTTTCACTTATTTTATTTTATGTTTTTCTATTTTGTTCCATTTTTCTTAACTACTTTTAATGACCATAAAAGTATATTATATGAGTTTTAAAAAAATTATTTATTTTCAAACTCTGCCGTAAAAATTAATCTTTGTATAGTTGTAACACATGATTGTATTTATATAAGAATGTTAATCTTTTAATAATATAGTTTAGCAATAAAGACACTATTTTTCTGACTTATTTTATTCTTCCTAACATAAACATTAAAAACATTTAAATGAAACTAATATTCTACATAAAAATAAAATATTAGCTCAAATAAAAAAAATTAGCATAGTTTAGTGTATTATAATTTAACTCAAGAGACTATAACTTGCATTAATATAATTCATAAAAAATAACTAAAATATAATAGAATTAAAACCATAAAAAAATCCTCCAAACATAAGTTTTCCTTCTTGAATCTAAAACATATTTTCTATCACAACAACTTCTTACTATATTGTTACCTCCATTCATTTATTTTAAACTAAAATCATATAGAATAACCTAGTAAGACTTCCTCTATAGTTAGATATATTAATATCTCAAATAATTATTACAAAATGTTAAATCCTCGCATTGATAAGTATACACATTTTTTTATAAATTATATTATGCCATGTAGTCTCTCTAGTTAAATTGTAATGTGCTAAACTATACTAATATATAATTTTTTAATTTGAGCTAATATTTTATTTTTATGTGGAAAATTAGTTTCATTTAAATATTTTTAATCTTTATGTTAGGAAAAATAAAATAAATAAAAAAATAGTGTCTTTATTGCTAAAATATATTATTAAAAATATTAACATGCTTATATAAATACAATCATGTATTACAACTATACAAATATTAATTTTTACGGTAGAGTTTGAAAATAAATAAATATTTTTTAAAAAACTCATATAATATACTTTTATGGTCATTAAAAGTAGTTAAAAGAAATGGAACAAAATAGAGAAAAATAAAATAAAAAAGTGAAAAGGGATTATTTTGTTATTTTTATATATTTTAGGGGTTATTTTTATAATTTTTAAAAATTCCAGGGGTATTTTTGTATTTAAATTTATTATTTTATTAAAAAACTAACAGAGATCCGTTAATTTGGACGGAACATGGGCCGATTGGATGAAATTAACAAAAATTTCAAATATTAGAGTAAAGTTAGCTAACCGAAAATTTGTTGGGTGTGATTGACGACGAGGGTAAAGATTTAAGTAAGAACGCGCATTTTTTCCATTTGTTTGGTGATGGCAAAGTTATCAGGCGAATGCTCAAATGGGTTATCTTAATACTCCAAAGTCCAAACATTAATATCATCGGTCGCTGATAACTTAGCATCTAACATGAATCGACTGAGTAAACTTTTGCCTAAGTGCACCTGCGGTACTCTGTTACCATAAACGAATTTTTTTTTGGACGGAATGATACATCAAAGATATATAATATAATCTATGTCAAGAAAAGGATATGTCTTTTGTGGAAAATCCTGACAAGTGTGTGGTGTGGCAAATCTGAAGAGTTTCCGCCGTCGGTTATATAACATATAATCCAGAAGTGGAAGGTTTTTTTTGAGTTATTTAAACTTACTATATTTTGTCCTGACCTTTGAAAGTGCAAAAGTCAGCTGTGAGAACTTGGACTTTGGAGCAGTGTATGACAGAGATATGGAAATGCTGAGCCGGCGGCACATGTGGGCATTAGCGTGACCATGTATGAAGAACTTTGAGTATTAACCTAGTTAGGATTTGTTATTATGACATAATCTTGTGACGTTGAAGAGCTCCAGAAGTACTCTCTCCCGTCTTTATCATAAGATATTTTAATTTTATCTTAAATTTTATTTAGGACGTATTTTTAATGGAAATAAAAATTTTAAAAACATTTTCTATAATCATTAAGAAACACAACGTATATGAAAATATACTTTTAAAGTTTTTATTTCCATTAAAAAAGATATTATATGTGAAACTTAAGACAAAATCAAAATACCTTATAATAAGAGCTGTGCGAAGTGCATATCGGCACGAATTTCACCAGGATCAAAGGAAAAAAAATAAAGATAAGTAATTGAAGGGATTTCTAGATAAAAGAATAAGACTTAAGAATATTAGCCTAGATATGAACGCTTGGTGTTGAAGGGCTTCTGAGAATACATACAAATTCGAATCGCACTAGTCACCAAAATCGTAAAATGAAAAGGGAAAAAAAAAAGCAAAGATATAAATAGTTTGATGATTATCAGAAATATGTGCCTTACAGTAGACCAAAAGTTGGTGTTTCAGAAGTACGAGATCATCATCAAAACTGAAAATCGTAAGGCAAAATACAGAAAAAAAAAAAAAAAGAAGGGCAAAAAGAAATAAACAAGTGTCTTCTTCCTTCGATTATTCTTTAGTTTTAACCCCAAATATTACTTTGTTGTGAATGTAACGTATACTAAATATAACAAATTCAAAGCAAATAGCCACATGGCTTGGGGATTGCAAATACATTGTCGAAGTTTAATAATTTAATGCGATAGTTATGAAAACTCAAAATCAACTCATTCGAAAATCCAACTTCACCTAATCAACAAGAGTCGTGACTTGTTTGATTATTGTCGAAGATTTATTTATAAAAATCTTATCTAAGACGGCTAAAGCATATCCCCTAAAAGAAGTGATTGCATGTGGACTTTTGATGACAACAATCCAATCAATATCAGTAATAATTCGCTGCGAAAATCTGGCCCCAATTCACATTTAATCATTTCTGTTTGGAAAACCCTTTCAAGGGAGGAAAAAAGGAGTCATAATTAGGCTTAATCTTTAGAAGATCTAGCATTAATCATAGCATAATGTTGACATTTCTATGGACAATATGTTTATTTGTCAATTAACTCCCGTGTTCTAATCATCTATGGACAAGATGCTTATTTGTTACTTATCTAAGCTTTATTATCTACATGGATTTGAAAAGAAACAAAAAAGAAAAAAAAAAATCAATATGAGCATATATCATACTCAAACAGTCAGACTGATCTTGATTCGATTAGAATTAAACTTGTTTTGAAAAATGTAAATCTCTAACACATTTTTACCCCATCCACAATCACAAACCTCAATTACAATCCTTTTCATTCTTTGATCAATTTATGAGAGTTCGAAAGTGTTAAAAAGGGGTTTGTTGAAAGTGTTCTTTTCAGCATACATTTCTAGGAAGAAATACCCCGTTATAAGCAGAGAAAAAAAAAAAAACTCAAAAAGACAGTTATTGGACTCGTCAAAAGTTTTGAACACCTTTAAACAACACACTCATTGGGCTTCTAAAGCTCCCATGGCCCATATAATAGAATTTGATTGTTTCAATTAAAAGGTTTCAGGGTTTCGGCCCTATAATTTATTGTTCTTCTCCTCCAAAGAGAATACTCCTTCTGTCCCATAATTATTGTCCGGTTTTAGATTTCACTTCTAGTACAATTTGAACTAAAAATGGAAACCTAAACTGGACAATAATTATGGGACGGAGGGAATATCAAAATCTCCTCTTTAATTATCCATTTTGTTTCATCACTATAAAGAAATACTACTGAGTTTATAACGTGAAAAGGAGTTAACCCCTGGCTATGAGTGAAGAAAAAAGAAAGTCTTATCTCACATTTATATCACATTTCCACTGAACTATGTGATATTGAGCTTCTATTTTACGGAATACGTACCCTTTCACTTTCAAAAATGTTAATTATTTTAAAGAATAACTGTACGTTAGCCTGTACATGTACTTGTTGGGTAAAGAAAAATCAATAAGAAATTTGTCTCGAAAATCCATACCGTAGCTTTTGCTTCCATTTCTTAAGCCAAAATTCAATTATAGTTAGAGTTAACTGAAGATAAACCCCCCTCTGGTTTGCTTATTTTGCAAATATCCTTCAAATAGTTGATTTCTTTTGTATTTTTAGTTTTTACAAAATACACCAATATCCTTCCTTAAAAAAATATATATAAATTCTTTTTGGCACAATAAGGAGACAATGAACCTCTTTTACACCCGAATAAAACTGTTATCCCACCTTAAATGAGATTCTCCTAGGCATTTAAAAAAATCTACTCAGAGTTTTTATTATTTAATACACCTGCTTCCTTTAACTATAAGGAGATTAGCAAACCCTTCCATCAAATTATTGATGATTTTATTGGGTCTCGTTGAATCTGTAAAAAAAAACTATGATTTGCAGTTGAATTTTAAGGATCATCGTCGTTTCACATCTGATTTTGATGAAATAATTAAGATAAGTGTATGTTATGAAAATAAAAACCGTATATGGAATTAGGTCAGTGTCACAATTTATTACTTTTTTTATGGGTATTTTATGAATATTGAAACTTTAGACGGGGATCGTTTATAAACTTCTATTATTATTATTATTATTATTAGCTATGCAATCTTTTTGTGAACGTAGGTAGAAGTGGTCCATGTGAGTATGGTCCGACATATTGCGTATTTTCAACTGTCATTATTTATTTATTTATTTTTTGTGTGTGGTTATTTTAAGGAGCATTTCATTTGATCTTGAAGTCTTCAATATACATATATTTATATCTTCAACGCGGTATGTATGAATTGGTGAGTTCTTTGATCGTTTCAATGCGATTCTCTGTTGCTTATGAACCCTAATTAATAAATTAGGGTTTTTTCTTGCAGATTTTTGCAGTTTGACACAGCAGTACAGTACTATTTACTTGATGCCTGTGCA